ATGAAATGCAAGGTGGTGTCACCCGTAAGTCACTCTCTTGGGTCTAACATCTGACTTTCAACCAAAAGCAAACCGAAAGGCCGCTGTGCTCAGTCAGTGCCCAGGGTCACAGGCAAAGAGAGTACGTCAGACAGCAATCTGAACCCTTTCTTGGACTCTCAAGGAAGCAAGAGGGAGGGAGGGAGAGGTATTCTCTTTTTGTTTGTTTGTTTTAATCTTTATTGTTGAAAGTGTTACATACATCCTCCCTTTCCCCCATTCCTCCCCCCACCCTGGGCCTTCGCCAACTTACTGTCTGTGTCCATGGGTGATGCATATATGCATACAATACAAGTGCATTGGTTGATCTCTTCCTGCACACCCACCCCACCCCGCCTTTTCTGTCTGTTCAGGAGAGATAGTCTTAATTCATGGTTACAATTCAGCTACCAACACCTCAGCGCAAAGCTGGCCTTCCTTTCTCTGATAGGCAAGCTCACGCAGACCAGGACTGTTCAGTGTGGCGGCCACTGGTCGTGTGGCCATTGAGCCTTGAGAACAGGGCAAGTCCAATCTAAGGTGTGCTGTCAGCGTGAAATGCACACTAGACTTTAGAGACGTAGGACGGAAAATATATCAAGTATCTAATTAATCGTTGTAATAATTTTAGTTGATCACATACTGCTTTAAATACAATATAATGTGACTATAGACAATGTTCACTAACATACGTGGCTTGCATTATGGTTGTATTGGACAGCACTAATGTAGAGAATCCAATTTCAAAAATGAAGATAATGCTGAAATTGGGTTTGCTCAGTGGATAGAGCGTTGGCCTGCGGACTGAAGGATCCAGGGTTTGATTCCAGTCAAGGGCATGTACCTTGGTTGTGGACACCCCCCCAGTGGGAGGTGTGCAGGAGGCAGATGATCGATGTTTCTAGCTCTTTATCCCTCTCCCTTCCTCTCTGTAAAAAAAAAATAAAAAATAAAAAAAATCAATAAAATATATATTTTTAAAAAAATGAAAACAATTTGAATCAGTTGGGGTTCGTGGGGCTAATAGATAGCACCTCTTTTTCTCCCATCCAAGTTTAGATCCAAGGAAGAAGTAGACCAGGAGGCAGGCAGGTGGAGGTCAAAGTATCCACTTGATGAAAGCTGTGGAAGGAAGCGGCCCTGGGTTGGTTGGACAGCTTGGCTTGCTAACACTTCTCTGCTGAATCAGACGGCCCTCGCCCTGCCACACGCCGTACGGTCAGGCCAGCCCCGTGCAGCCTGGGAGCCCAGCGTCCTGAGTGCGCTCAGAAGTCAGTGTCAGTCCCCCCGGCCAACCTGCCCACCGTGGCAGTTGCTCCTGCCCCCTGGGAGTTGGTAAGCAAGAGCATGGAGAGAGGCCAGGAATGCTTGGATGAACCCCTTCACGTGGAAACAGTAGGAAATAAGGGATCCTTCTAGAGCAGTGGTTCTCAACCTTCCTAATGCCGCGACCCTCTGATACAGCTCCTCATGTGGTGGTGACCCCCAACCATACAATTATTTTCATTGCTGCTTCAAATATCTGTGTTTTCCGGTGGTTTTAGGCTCTACAGCAGTGGTTCTCAACCTGTGGGTCGCCTAATTCCAACAGGTTGAGAACTGCTAGCAGGGTCTCCTAAGATTATGGGAAAACACAGATATTTACGTTACCATTCAATAACAGTAGCAAAATTACATGTTATGGTTGGGGGTCACCACAACATGAGGAGCTGTATCAGAGGGTGGCGGCATTAGGAAGGTTGAGAACCACTAGTGCTTCCTAACCTTCGTTTAATAATGCGTTGACCTTTAAGTCCCTGGTCAGCAGGAGGCAATCAACCATCCAACAGAAACGGCCCTGCTCTCAGCTTGACCCAACTGCTCGTCAGTGCCCGTCACTTCTGCTGTCCGAATGGTCCCGGGTCTGCTGTTGGAAAGTTGCCACCAAGAGGTTTCAGGATGGGTCAGATCAGAACATTCATGAACCCCAAGGCCTGTCTCCTCCCACGCCCCATCCCAGCTGCTAGTAAGCCACAGCCAATATCTCGTCAGAGACTTTGCAATGAGATCAACATTTAGCATAAAGATAGCCCCATCCTAAAAGGCCAATAGGAAGAAGCCATATTGCATATTAACTCCCTCCCATTGCAAACTTCCCAGGGAGAAATATTAAGATTCGATTTCCTCGCAAATTAAAGTCGAAGGGAATGAGTCCGAAATCAAATTGTGCTGCCCTCATGAGTTCAAAGTTCAAAGAAATCAAACTCTTTTAAAGTCCAAAAGCATCAAAACCCCAAATCAAATTCTCTTTTAGAGTCCAATGCAATTTTTAAAGGAAAAAAAAGGAAAAAAATTATCCTCCCTAAAGTGCTGGACGTTGAGTGCACTGCTGTGACTCTTGACCTTTTTCCTTTGAGCCTGGCTCCATGTTGAGCTTTGCCAGGAGAGGGCGCACTGCAGGGGAGGAGGCTCTACCCCTGCTCAGTGGCCATCAGAGGAATGCCAGTGGGTATCGCCTCCAGTGAGTTCAACATCAGCCCCAGGAGCAGTCTCCCGTGGGCACTGGGAACCCTCGAGCCCGGGCTTTCCCTGGACGGTGGCGTCTGCCCACTGGACCCCTCCACCTCCTGAGTTTTGCTATCACCCCCCACCCTCCCGGGGGCAGGTTCCTCCTTACAGCCTTGGCCTGCAGAAACCTCAGCAAACTTATCTGCCTACATTCCTTTTAAAAAATATATTATTTATGCCGAAACCGATTTGGCTCAGTGGGTAGAGCGTCGGCCTGCGGACTGAAAAGTCGCAGGTTCGATTCCAGTCAAGGGCATGTACCTTGGTTGCAGACACATCCCCAGTAGGAGGTGTGCAGGAGGCCAATGTTTCTCTCTCATCGATGTTTCTAGCTCTCTATCCCTCTCCCTTCCTCTCTGTAAAAATCAATAAAAATATATTTTAAAAGAATATACAAGAGTATTATTATATATATATATATAATTTATAAAGTCTATCACACTTATTGGGTGCAGTCACAGGTTGGTGTCTGAATTCTCTCTGGTGGGAGAGCTTGTGTGGTGAACACGGCCCGTGCGGTGAAGCCTGCCCGGTGAGGCTCTGGAGCCCATGGGCACGTCTGAGGGTTTAGGGTTGGCCCCTCTGTTGGTCCAGAAGGTGGATCAGAAGACGATTTTAAGAAAAGAGGAACCGGGCTCGGGGCAGCTGAATGGACACAGCCACCCCACGTGTGGTGCTAACGATGGTTTTGAACCTGGATTTTTGCCACGTGTGGTGGAGTGTACAGAACGGCATACGGACCTGTCCAGGTCCATTGGCAGCGCTGGGCAGCTGCCCCCGCCACCCTCTCCAGGACTTGCCTCATCTTTGCAAACCGAAACTGTCCCCAGGCGACAGGCGACTCTGTGTTTGTTCACCGGGGGGTCATCCGGGGATGAAAACAGAGGCCCAGGGCTGGGACCGTCAGGGGTCAGGCCAGCGGGCCACGAGCCACAGGCCGAAGCCTGGCCTGGAACTTCAGAGCCACGGGGACCCCTGGGAGTGTGGTTGGGAACTCAGACCGTCAGGCCTTTCCCAAGACCTGAGCCCAAATGGGCAATCCGAGGAGCTCCCAGGCCTTGGGGGCACATGAAGTCTGAGAGGTGCTGGTGTGTGAGATGTGTTGGTGTGTTTGTCCTCAGGGTCACGTCCTGCTTCAGAAATACCCCAACAACTGAAAGGAAAGCAAAGGCCGGGTTGGGGAGGGGGGCGGGAAAGGGGGGGAGCTGTGCCTGAACAAGGTCCTGTGCCGAATAAATACACTCTTTCCGCGGAGCCGTTGACCATCAGAGGTTTCATTTGGGAGGAGAAACCCAAATAGTTCTGTGCCAGCTCCTACCTGGGGGTAAGCGGTCACTCATTTGTCCAACCTTTTGTCCTCTGTCCACACGGCTTAGCCGCCGGGGTCAGCACGGCCTGGACTCTGGAAACCTGGCTCGAGGCTGCCCCATCCCATCTGCCTGAGATCCCACAGCTAGAGAGACGCGCCTTCACGTGTGGGGACCCCGAGCAGAAGCCAAAGGCAGACCGGCGGAAGGGAGGGTCCCCGGCGTCCTCAGCCTGCGCCCACGGGAGAGACCTGAGTAAGTCCTCCGCCTGCGCGCACGGAGCGTCCCTCGGCTGTGACATGCACGAGACATACATGCTCTCGCCTCACAAGGTTTGTTTAGGGCAAATTCGAGGAAATGAATGTGAAGTCCTTTATGAAGTAACTAGGGGCCCGGTGCACAAAATTTGTGTGGGGGAGGGGAGGGGAGCGTCCCTCAGCCCGGCCTTCACCCTCTTGCGATCCAGGACCCCTCAGGGGATGTCCGCCTGCTGGCTTAGGCCCCTTCCCTCGAGCCGACAGTTGGAAATCCCTCTCGCAGTCTGGAACCCCTCGCTCCTTACTGCCCGCCTGCTCGCTGATCCTTCCCACTGCTGAGACACTCGGACTTCTTCCTCTGCGGTCACACACCTGTCACACGCCAGGCAGTCACTCAGACATACCTTGGCATCGGCCAACTTATGGAATTCTCCCTTCTCTCCGTTCTCCTGAGCCGGACTCCGAATCCTCTTGGTCATCATTTTTTGTGTTTTTTTTTTTTTCTTCTTGTTACAAAGTTTCTATGAATATGAGGTGCAGCCTCTTTTGTGGGAAGAGGGAGGGAGGGAGGGAGGGGTGGCTAAGTAAGGCCCACGGAGCTGCAGCGAGCACCAGCGGTGGGGAGGGCCAAGGGGGAGAGGAGGTTGGCACAGAGACCCTAGAGCCGTGGCTGGGGAAGTGGGGATCCCCGCTGAGTGCCACTGTTCTGAGGCTGAACTAATTGGTCCAGCTGAGGCAGAGGTGGGTGGCCGCATCAGCCATCTTTGGTGCTGTTTACCCTTTCCCGCTGGCCCCATCCTGTTGTAAAACAGCCGGAGCCCTGGATTCCAAAGGTCCGATGCAGAGCAGACGCCCTGGAAGGGAGAGAGAGGAAGAGCATAGGGTAGTTTGCAGCTCCACCCTCTTCCTTCCCTGAGGCCTCAGATTTCTGAGAGAGGCTCCGAGAGAGGGAGGAAAGGCTGTGTGTGTCTGTGTGTGTGCAGTTGTGAGTGAGTGTGAGAGCTGGGCACTCTCTCTCCCCGTGTCCTGGGGGAGGGCCCTGCACGCGGGTGCTGCGGCGACCCAGGATCCACGGCCCCCGCGGTGGGGCACTGAGAGGAAGAGGGACTTGGGGCGCCTTTGGGAGGCAGTGTGAAGATCCTGGGAGCCTCCAGAGGCGAGGGCACCCTCCTCCGCCCCAGCCTGCTCCCTCCTGAGCACCGCACGTGAGTTGGGGAGGGGGTCGGTGACACATCTCAGTCCTGGCCCCCACAGGCCTCCCTTCCATCCAGTCTGTTTTGTTTCCATCTCTCCATCCCAGGCTCTCCCAGTCTCTCTTTCTCCTCTCAGCAGTCCTCCAGGCCTGCCTGCCTCCCTTTTCTCCCTCTCCCCACCCCCACCTTCTCTCTCTCTCTCTCTCTCTCTCTCTCTCTCTCTCTCTCTCTCTCTCTCTCTCTCTCTCAGGGGCTGAGGCCTCTTTTTGAGAGAGGCTCCGAGGAGGAGCTGGGAGGGAGGGAAAGAAAGGGAGAAAAGGCTGTGAGCTGGTGGGCCTGAAGGACCGACTGCTACCATGGGTGCGCCAAGTCGGGGGGGTGGGGGGGGGTCGGGAGGGGTCATCCCACAGGCCTTGCCTGAAACAGCTCAGGGAGGCGCCTCAGGGCTGGTGGGACTGACGGAAGTGGGGACGTGGCATGGAGGTGGTGCCTGTGCCTGCAGGCCGTCTAGAGGGCTCACAGCCTCCGCAGCCCCCATGTGGGGAGTAGAGACCCCCCTCCACTGGCCCCGCCTCCCCCATTCCCATCCCCATCCCCATCCCCATCCCCAACCCCATCCCCATCCCCGTCCCCACTGCCACACGTCCCTGCCTACCCGAGCCTCCTGCACACATAGCCTGGCGTTCGGTCATTTCTCCGGTCCTTTTGGATGTTACGGACTCTGGCTCTTTATATCTATAGATTAGAGGCCTGGTGAACAAAATTCATGCACAGGAGGTCCCCTCAGCCCAGTCTGCACTGGGATCCCTCTGAGGATGTCCGACTGCTGGTTTAGGCCTGATCTCAAGGATTGAGCCTAAATCGGCAGTTGGACATCCCTCTCATAACTCTGGACCACTGGCTCCTAACTGCTCACCTACTGCTTGCCTGGTCGTCAATGCTGCTCTGCCAACCTGGTTGCCCCTAAATGCCCCCTGCTGCTGATCAGGTCACCCCAACTGCCCCCTCCCTGTCAGCCTGGTCACTCCTAACTGTCCCCACCCCACTGGCCTGGTCACCCCTTACTGCCTCCCTCTGCTGGCCTGGGTGCCCCCAACAGCTCCCCTCTGCTGGTCTGGTCACCCCTAACTGCCCCCCCTGCCGGCCTGGTCACCCCCAACTGACCCTCCCTGCCAGCCTGGTTGCCCCTAACTGCTCCCTACTGCTGGCCAGGTTGCCCCCAACTGCCCCCTCCCTACCAGCCTGGTCACTCTAACTGCCCCCCTGCTGGTCTAGTTGCCCCTCCCTGCCTCCCTGCCAGCCTAATCACCAACTGTCCCTCTTGCCAGCCTGGTTGCTCCTAACTGCCTTCCTGCTGGCCTGGTCACCCCTAACTGCCCCCTGCTGCTAGCCAGGTCTTCCCCAACTTCCCCCTCTTCCCTGGCCTGGTCACCCCTAACTGCCCCTCCTCCCCGGTCTGGTCAACCCCAACTTTCCCCCCTTGCCAGCCTAATTGCCCCCAACTGACCCCCTCTGCTGGCCTGGTCGCCCCATGCAGCCTGCTTGTTCAGTCATTTGTTCTGTCATTTAGGTCATCAGGGCCCCTGGCTTTTTATATATTAGGATATACCAGTCAAAATATTTGTTGTTTGGTGATTATCATGGGGGGGGGGGCACGTGGAGGGGAAGGGGGTTGGAGGGGGGAAGGTAGGGGGCATCAAAGGGATTTGTCTCTGCTTCCTTTTGTTTATCATTAGTGTCTGCAAAATGAGGGGTGTGGATTCTGAATAAAAAGCTAAGAAGAGAGACGTATTATGAGTTTCTAGATAAATTCTAAAAAGCAGATGTAAGCTATTACCAACCAAAATATCTCTACTTCAATGCACCTAAGAGCATATGTCACAAAAATACTCCTCACAGCTTTTGTAGGTGCTGCTTCAACATCCATTCTGTTCGCATCTCCCAGTTTTCTTCTTCGGGGATTCTGACCTGCGCATGGAGCCTCGATTCCGTACATGCTGGCCCAAGTTTTTCAGCACTTTGTTTTCACTTCATTTGCTTACTTTCTTCATCTGTCTGCAGTGTTGCTTTAAAAAAAATTTTTTTTTAAATAGGGTCTCTTTTCCCTTATGTGAATTCCAATAAGCATTTATTTTTGTGACGGCTTTATTTTTCTCCCTCTTCTTTCCTAAACTTCCCCAGTTAATTTCCTTGAACCCTCAGAGCTATTTCCTTGCATTGTCAAGGAAATTGCTTCCCTGGCTTTAAAAATATTAATTGCCGAAATAGTGTTTGCTATTTTCATTGGCTTTTTGGTAACACTTTCCTGGTGAGTATTCTTTATTTGCCACTTATTTTTCTTGTTGTTGTTACTGTCTTTTTTTTTTTGTGGTATATATTTTTTATTGCAGCAAAATATAACATAAAACTGACCATCATAACCATTTCTATGTGTCCAGTTCAGTGGCATTAAGCACATTCATATTATTAGGCAACTATCCCCACTGCCCATCTCCAGAACTTTCCATCTTCCCAAATGGAAACTGACCCATTAAACCCCTTGTTCCCTCTACTCGGTCGGCATTTCCCAGGGCTCCCCCCTCAGCCGGCTTCCTCCCCCATCCCTCCCCCGAGCCCACCGTCTCCCGTGGGGTTCACCTGTTTGTGAACTCCTAGGCCTGCGTTCCTAGGTCTCCGCTCTGTGTGAAGCCGCTCCCCTCCTGAGTGACAGCGGGTCTGCTTTCCTCTTTCCCAGGTGGGGCGGCGTCTCTTCCAGCCCAGACCCATCGCCACCTCCGGAGAGAAGCACAAGGAGCCCTGGAGGCACCATGGCCATGGCACCAGCAAGAATCCACTCAGGTAACGCTCTCCACTCCTCGACAGTGTCTTCTGACCACAGTTCACCATCTCATCTGTGACGGGTGACCCTGGAGACTGGGCAGTGGCCCGGGGCCCTGGATGTGGGTGAGGATCCTGCCCTATTTCCCATGAGGTCTGCTCACCCTCCTCCCCCAAGTAGAGACATCTGAGGTTCCTTGGACACAAAGACTGTATTTCATGAGCCCCAAATCAGAATACATACTCAGGTCACCCCCTCCGGCCCCTGCGACTCTCAGCTGGCGGGCTCGGATGGCCAGGTCGGAGGTCATCCTGTGGGTGTGCAGTCAGGAGTCAGGACCCCCAGAAGTCCCTGAACTTGGCCTTGGGCCAGCCACACCTCCTCACTCAGGGTCATTGCCAGAAACCATGGTGATGGGAACCCAGGGCAGCACCTCCTACGCTCCCGGGTGGGCCCGGGTCTCCCGAGCACAGTCCTTTGGCAAGACGGGTTTAATTATGGGATTTTACCTCAGAGAGCCTCGTTGTTTGTCACATTTTAAGTCTTTATCTCATATTGGTGTACTGTCATGTAACCCGTCTCCCTTCATGGATATTCAAATTGTGTCCACTTGTTTTCACCACTTCCAGGGCCTGGTGGGCAGCCTTGCACGTGTCTGTGCACACGCCAGTGTGTTTGTATGGCATGAATGTCTGCAGGGTGATGCCGAGTGTCAGACCTGTGTACATTATATGTTACCTGATATTCCGAACCGTCCTTCCAAAGGCTTCTATTCTAGGCTCAGCCACGTGTCTGAGAACACACCCTCCCCTCGCTCAGCGCAGGATGCTCCCGGCATCCTTTTCACTTCTGCCAAAGTGACCAAGGAAATGGTACCTGCGTTTGCATTTTCTGGTGACTCCTGATGTTAAACAACTTTTCATGAGTTGATCGGCCATTGTCTTTCTTCTTCTGTGAAACACCTTTTCAAAGAACACGAGAAATCCCTGTTTACGGAAAATGAGAACCAAGTGCACTTTTTAAAAAAAATATTTTTATTGATTTTTTACAGATTGGAAGGGAGAGAGATAGAGAGCTAGAAACGTCGATGAGAGAGAAACACCGACCAGCTGCCTCTTGCACAACCCGTACTGGGGATGTGCCCGCAACCAACGTACATGCCTCTGACCGGAATCGAACCTGGGACCTTTCAGTCCTCAGACTGACGCTCTACCACTGAGCCAAACTGGTTTCGGCCCAAGTGCACTTTGAAAGAGTAGGGATTTTGTTATTGCTTCTTCTTTTTTTAATGCTATGTTTTGTTTGTTTATTTTTTGTTTTTAAAGATATTTTAATTTATTTCAAAGAGGAATGGAGAGGGAGAGAGAGAGAGAAACATCAATGATGAGAAAGAATCACTGATCGGCTGCCTCCTGCACAATCAGGGATCAAGCCTACAACCTGGGCATGTGCTCTGACTGGGAATCGAACCCTGACTTCCTGGTTTATAGATTGACACTCAACCACTGAGCACTGCCACCAGGCTTGTTATTGCTGCTTAACTCTTCAAGCTGGCATGGCTCACGGTTGAAGAGTTTGATTCCCGAGGCCACAGTTCAATTCCCAGTCAGGGCACACGCCCAGGTTGTGGGCTCAACCCCCTGTGTGGTGTGTGTATGAAGCAGTGGATCAATGATTCTCTCTCATCATTGATGTTTCTCTCTCTCTCTCTCTCTCTCTCTTTCTGAAATAAATAAAAATATATATATTTTAAAAAAGGACAGGGAGAGGGTGGGAGAGAGAGGTTTTGGTCTTAGTGAAGAGAAGTGGAATATGTTACTCACATTAAAAACTTGAAAAGATTAAAAGCATCCCAGGAAGATGAGGCAAACATAAAAAAACCTGAAAGCTCTTTTAGAAAACAAGCAACTTTCATGTCATATAAATTGTTCCAGAAATGTGTTATTACCTATATTCTATGAAGTTTTCAGAAAAGAAAACTGTAGTTCAATATCACTTATGACTCTAAGGTAAACATAATGAATACGATATTAGAACATATAAATCTGTAACATACCGATGCAAAAATCTGCAATGGTTTCCACAGAATATAAGAATAATTCAATATATGGAAATTTATGCACATAATACACTATACTCATGGGATAAATAAAAAAGGAAAATTACAATAATCTCGTTAGAGTCTAAAAACTCAGCACCTCATCCTAATAAAAATATGGAAATACAGGCATAAAACGTACCGCCTTAGGTGAAAGAGTGTTTTTATAAACCAACTGCCAACAGTAAAATACTGGAGTCAATTTCATAAAATTAAATAATTTAAGAATTCAACCTAGCCTAATGAGATATGGAACCAAAATAAGAAAAAGAAATATTGAAAGAAAAAAAAAAAAACAACAGGAAAGAAACCCAACATTATGTGTTCATGAGTTATTCATTTAATCATTATTGCAAGGAATAAAAATTCGGTGAAGCCCAGAGGAGTATTAAAAATGAATACTGTTTCTACCGAGTAACTGCATCAGTTAGAAAACACAACAGTAAGTGATAGTAGGAAATAACATTAGCATGGAATGCAAAGCAGCGGCAAATCTTACCTAGAAGGAGGAGGGAGAATAGAATCCTGAGAAGCATATCGCATCGCTGGGTAGGAGGGGATGCAGCAGACGGTGGGTTCACTCAGGATCTAAGCTGAGACCTTCTAAAAGGCACATGTTTGTCAATACGATGACAGCAAGTAGCTTCCTTTCCCCAGTTTAACTGGAAATATAAGCAGCTCCCCAGGCCCTGCACGCCGAACTGCAAGCAGTCAGAAAGCAGAGGCGGGCGTGGGAACCAATCCCTGGCCCAGCCACTGGCCAGAGTGGGGACAGCAACCAGGACAGGGTCAGTGCCATGATATGAGGGACTCACACGGGTGACAAACACATGAAGACCCCGCTGTGTGGCAGGAAGGGCGTATGTCTGTAAACATGAGGGCAGGCCCCTCTTGATGAAAGAGCAGAGCCATCAAAAACAATCATCTGGCCAAAACTGGTTTGGCTCAGTGGATAGAGCATCGGCCTGCGGACTGAAAGGTCCCAGGTTCGATTCCAGTTGGGGCCATATGCCTTGGCTGCGGGCACATCCCCAGTAGGGAGGTGTGCAGGAAGCAGCTGATCGATGTTTCTCTCTCATCGATGTGTCTAACTCTCTATCCCTCTCCCTTCCTCTCTGTAAAAAATCAATAAAATACATTAAAAAATAATAATAATCATCCGGTAGTGGTGTAGCAATATGGACAATACTTGTCCTACAATTTTACATCTGGAAAATAACAGACACAGTCATAGCATGCTATGAAAGCCACGTGAACAAGAATATGCATTTGAAAAGTTACTGGAAATAAAAGAAAAAATCAACAGGATCAGGGGTGATTTCTGAACAACACAGAAAGCTGCAGCATAAGGGATTCGAAGCAAGGGTCGCTAGGCAACATTATCTATGGAGGGGAGGAAAAATAATTTTTCCTCTACCCTTCTGAGTTCTTATCTGAGACCCTTGTAATAAAAGAAAAACCAGTCGAAACTGGTTTGGCTCAGTGGTAGAGCGTCGGTCTGTGGACTGAAAGGTCCCAGGTTCGATTCCGGTCAAGGGCATGTACATTGGTTGTGGGCACATCCCCGGTAGGAAGGTGTGCAGGAAGCAGCTGGTCGATGTTTCTCTCTCATCGAGGTTTCTAGCTCTCTATCCCTCTCCCTTCCTCTCTGTAAAAAATCAATAAAATATATTTAAAAAAAAAAAAACAGAAAAAAAGAAAAGTCTGTTGACACATATCCTTCATGAACAAATGGGTGATATCCAGGGAAAAACGAGTAACTCCCTAAGGAGGCTTCCAATTCAATCTTAAGCACCATTTTCATAGAGAAAGGGGAGGGGCTTCAGGCCTCGCCGAGGGGAGTAAATTATTTTTTTTTAGGAAAGATGAAGGATCCTTGGGAAAACAGAGGGGAGGTATGATAATTCGTGACAAAGTGTGCCTGGGTGTGGTGTCAACTTCCAGTCTCCTCTCCTGTAACAAGAGTCTACCTCCCTGGTTGATGACACTCCGGGAAGGGGACCCAGGACAGCCGACTGCCTTTTGGTGGATGTGTCTGTAGGCAGACAAAGGGAGTTCAGAGACAGCCTCCTGCATTGCTGTTTTCCAGGTGCCGACAACTCAAAACATTGCGTGATCAAAGAGGCATCTTTGGGGTGACGTAGTCTGCTGCCCGACACCGACCTTGTTAAACAAACAGCTAACCAGCCAGGGAATGCCTCCGCTCAGGAAGGGTTGAGCAGGGACGGGACAATCCTTCCAGGAAGGTAGAGCAGCGGGCTGGATGGAACGCACGCTCACTTGCTTCTGAGTTTGCAATATTATAACTTAAACTAGATGCCCCTTGCAGGAAGATTCCTGCAATAGGGCTTCCTGCTGCCGTCTTAAATGGCCCTAATCGTCTTGGTGCCTGTTGTTGGGTTATTGGATGATCATCAGAAGATTCTTGTGTCTAAACATGTGATAGCAAAAATTCGAGAGCCACCAGAAATCTAAGAGATGCCCAGTTCGACTGCATCCTGGTTAGCTCTGGGCATCGTCACAGTTTGTTTGTTTGAAATCACCAGGCAAAAAAAAAAAGACGTGCAACTTGTGAGACATTACAGTTTTTGACGTATTCTAATGTTGCTCATGTTGTTCCCAAATGTTGTACTTAGATGGTCTGCTTCCCCGGAGCATCGTTGAAGGCCTTGCCACCATGACCACAGACGACATGCACTGGCTCCTCTCTGATTGGCAAGCTTGGGAGGCAGTGATGGAGCAGCTTCGTTTTGGAAGGTAACCCCAGAGCAGTGATGTCTGGGGTGGAAGTGCCAGAGGGAGAGCTCTGTGCAGGCAGGGACCGGGCTGGTGTGCTCGCTGCCGGAATCCCAGCACCGGGAAGGCGCCTGGCACGCACCGGGCACACAGTGACTTGATGGGAAGGATGTCAGAAGCCGCTCCTGCTTCCCTGGGGAGGGGGCAGCTGGCCGGTCTACTGGAGGCTGCTGATGGTTTGCCGGGCACCAGAGGGCTCTGACGCCATTGCCAACAGCTCCTCCGGGGCTTGGGGCTGCTTGGGCTTTGTGGGGTTTTCCTGCGAGGCCTGCCTCCTTCCCCATAGACACGCTCTCCGATATCCTAAACCCAGACCCCGGGGGCCAGACAAGTCAGACTCATGAGCCGTAGGAAGACGACTGCAGCATCTGGCACAGGCCCACGGTGTCCACACGGGCAGCCCCTCTTCCTGTAAGACAAGGCGCCTCTCCCGGCCTGTTAACGGGCGAGCAGAGCAGAACCCGCTGTTCCCAAGCACGGCTGCCCTCTGTTGGAAATCTGCTTCCAGTTTCCAAAATGCACGCGTGTCCGAGTGAATGGCCGGGAGCCCTCCCCTAGGGGAGAGGGGATATTTGGTGTCTCCCTGGAGGCCCCCCCCGCCCCCCGCACCTTTTTTATTTTTTAGAAGTGTAGGCTATTTTACCATTTTTTAAAATGCGTCTAATGTGTGCACGTGATACAAAACTTGAAAGGAACAGAAGAGCAGACAGTCAAAAGGAAGTGTCCCACAAAGCTTTGACCCCAGGGGCCCGCTCCCTCCCCAGAAGCAACCACGATTTCCAGATGCATCCCCTTTAAACAGAAAAAGCAGAAATGGAGAACACAACTTCCACAGGCTCTTATATTCTATTTCCCAGGACAGACCTGCACACCAGCCTGTGCAGATGCACAAATTACACACAGAGGTGTGTTTATTAAGAAAAGATTCAGTGACGAAAAGATTTAGTGATGCAGGGACGGGACAATATTGTGCCTGATTCATCACATGGGCGTCACAGCCCGTCAGGCCATGCAGAGGGATCGCATCCCCAGTTCCTGCCCCCAGAGGGGGGCAGGCCCGAGGGCCACCGTCTATCTCACTGCTCCCCAGGTTGTACCTTGACTCCCGGGGCGCTGCTCCCCCCAGGCGTTCGGGAACTGAGATGACCCAGAAGTCCTTAGCCTCCCAGGTGAGCCCGTCCCCGAGTTGGGAAAACACGCGTGTGCTGTGTCCGCCCACAGGAACGAAGTCGATGTGCTGTACTATATGGTGGCCCAGGAGCTGATGCGACGGGAGGAAGGGCTCTGGCCGTCCGGGAACCTGTCCCAGGAGGAGATGATGTTTCTCCAAGAGTTTCCCTGGCGGAAGCACCAGCTGGAGAAGACTATCAGTGAACTTCGCAGCATCGCAGACCAAGTTGACACAACCCACAAGATGCTCACCAAGACCAGCCTGGTGGCCAGCTCCTCGGGGGCGGTGTCCAGCGTCATGACCATCCTGGGTGTGGCCCTGGCACCCGTGACAACAGGAGGGAGCCTGCTGCTCACAGCAGCAGGGCAGAGCCTGGGGTTAGCAGCTGCTGCCACCAACATTTTGACAAATGTCTTAGAAAATAGGAGCAATGCGGCAGCAAGAGACAGAGCTAGCAGACTGGCGAGTCTCTCCATGGGCGCGGAGGCTGGAACCGGGGGAGGGATGCCTTTCTCTGATGCGAGATTCATCAGGAGGTGTGTGGACGCTCTCGGGAGCATCAGGCAGCTTCGGGCCTTCCACAAGGCCCAGGCCAGCTCTAGCTTCATTGCGAGGGTCAGGAACTTCGTGGCCACAAGGCGTGTGCCCTTCTGGAGGGCCACCGGGGTGCAGAGAGCGGCGGGGGCGCCTGTCCTGGCTATGACCCGCGCTGCCCGGATGCTGAGCGTAGCTGGGGCTGGCTACTTCCTCATGCAGGACATGAGAAGCATCCGGGAGAACTGGAGGCACCTGGAAGACGGGGCGAGGACGGAGATGGCCGAGGAATTGAGGAGGCTCTCCCGGGAGCTGGAGCAGGAGCTGGACCAGCAGTCCCAGCGCTACATGCTGACCATCCAGAGGCTGAACCAGGAGGGAGGAAAAAGGGCAAAGGATGCCGAGGATAAGTGGGGATGCCAACCAGGTAGGCATGGAAACACACATAATCACAATTGCCTTTTCCAGAGAGGACTTTCCCACACTCCTCCCTTAAATGAGGTCCCTCCTGCTACTTCCAGCATCCTGTGCTTTTCTCCCAAAGCGCTGACCGTGCGTCTTTGAAATCATCTGTTTGTTTTTTGTTGTTTTTAAAATATATTTTATTGATTTTTTTACAGAGAGGAAGAGAGAGGGATAGAGAGTTCAATGAGAGGGAATCATCCATCAGCTGCCTCTTGCACACCCCCTACTGGGGATATGCCTGCAACCAAGGTACACACCCTTGACCGGAATCGAACCCTGGACCTTCCAGTCTGCAGGCCGATGCTCTATCCACTGAGCCAAACCGGTTTTAGCCTGTGTGTTGGGTGCCAGCTGGCTGTCTTTCTGCAGAGCGCCGGCAGGTGAGCCGTGCTGGGCTCACAGCAGGTGCGCCCTAGTTGTGTTGAATGACGTGAGTGGCATTTCATGGTAAAGGTGACTCTTCAAATAAGTTGGGAAAGGATCCTTCCTTAAAAAGGAATTTGTATTCCTAGACTCCCTTATTCAGAGACATTAACTACCTTGGTGTAGGAAATGAAAACGATTATCAGGAAAATGAAGCTGAATTTCAAAATTCCTCCTTAATTCTACAGAGAGGGTGTGATGGGACCGGATAGCAAGGCCACTGCCTCAGATGCTGGGAAGAGACCCAGAAGACTGTGAGGCTCATAAATTCATTGATTCATTCATTGATTCATTCATTGATTCATTCGCTCATTAGTTCATGCACTGACCCATTAATTGGGGTCTGTGACGGGGCAAAGGACGAAGAAAGTGTCCCAATCCCGTCTGCATGTTGAATTCGCCTGGGAAGCCTTAACACACACCGATGAGTGGATCTAACTGATGTGAGGTAGGACCTGGGCTTTGGACATTTTAAAGGCTCTCCTAGTGATCCTGTGTGGCAAGTTTGGGACCCCTGTTTTAAGTGGGGTGGAGATGGAGGTGGGGGTTCTTCCCATTCCTCTACAGTCGAACCTCGTTTCTCCAACGTCTCCCATCTCCAACAACCTGGTTCCGGGCCAAGTTGTTCACAGAAAAAAAAGTGTCTGTTTTGGACCAAAATTTCCATCTTTGAACAGACAACCCTTTCAAGTGAGGTATCAGCATGGCAGGCAACATGCAAAGGAGAGAATGCTTTGGTTGCTGAAATTAGCATAATTTTAAAACATAAAGAAGCCATCAGCCTAGGCTGGTTTGATGCAGAGGATAGAGCATCAGCTTGCAGACTGAAAGGTCCTGGTTCAGTTCTGGTCAAGGGCATGTGCCCAGGCTGCGGACTCCATCCCCAGAGTCTCTCTCATCATTGATGTTTCTCTTTCTCTCCCCCCCTTCTCTCTTCCTCTCTGAAATCAATATAAATGTATTTAAAAAATAAAACAAAGAGGCCATCAATTAGCAAAAGATAATGTTGCTAAGGGTGTGAAAGTGCTCACAAAACAGCAATCATAGGCAACCGAATAGATAGAAAAACTGTTGTGGCATGGATAAAGGAAAAGCAGTTAGCCTGTGATAGCATTTCAGAGGCAGTGATATATAAAAAAACTCCTTTAAGATTAGAAGGGGGTGGTTTGATAAATTTAAGACAAGTGTTTATAAATTAAACAGTATATTAGACATAGCCTAATATACAAAAAGCCAGGGGCCGTCACAACCTAAATGACCAAACTAGTGACTGAACAGCAGGCTGCATGGGGCAACCAGGCTGGCAGGGGGGTTAGTGAGGGATGACCAAATGACTGAATAACAGGCTGCATAGGGTGACCAGGGTGGCAGGGGAGGAAGTTGGGGGCAATCAGACCAGTGGGAAGGAGTTGGGGGCAACCAGGCCAGCAGATGGGGCAGTAAGGAGTGACCAGGCTGGATGGGGGCCAGTTAGGGGTGTCCAGGTCAGCAGGGGGGGTCAATTAGGGGAGACCAGGTCAGCAGAGGGGGGCAGTTGAGGGCAACCAGGCTGGCAGGCAGAGGCAGTTAGGGGTGATCAGGCAGGCAGGCATGAGCAGTTAGGAGCCAACAGTCCTGGATTGTGAGAGGAATGTCTGAGTGTAGATGGCAATTGGACATCCCTGGAGGGGTCCTGGATTGAAGAGAGACTCTAGGGATGGAGTCTGCAGCCCGGGCACATGCCCTTGACCAGAACTGAACCAGGGGACCCTCCTCCTCCTGTGCACTAATTTTGTGCACCGGGCCTCTAATACTGTATATAAGAAAAGTTGAAATAGGGAATCATTTTTGGGTCTGGAACAAATTAATTCAATTTACATTATTTCTAATGGGGAAAAAAATGATTAAATTTTTTATCACATCGCCCTTGAAAAGCCTTGTGGAATGGATTAAGTTTGAGAAACAAGATTCCAATGTACATCCATATCCTTTTACCCACCGGGTACATTCTCCAGCTTCCTAATAGGCCAGGAGCAGCTTTGGGGGTAAATTATTTTACACAAGGATTCATATTCTGAAGGGCCTTGCCCACCCTTCCCTTGCCTGTCTTGGAGCAAGCACAAACTCAGGCCAGGAGCCTGCAGGGCACCGAGGATCCTGAGAAAAGACAGTCCCTGCCTCATGGTACTTGAGGAGGGACAGACCCCAGATAAGCCATTAACGAGGAGGAGAGGTACATGGAATGACACAAGGAGGACAGGGTGGTGGGTACTCCCAGGGTGGAGGGAGGGGGATGGGTAGTGGGAGGTGGGGAGGAAGCCCAGACGGTAAGAGAAGTGGGTGTCTTCTGTTTCTGCTCCGCAGACATGCATTCTGGGCCTGTGCCCTTGCCCGTCACCTCACTGGTCCCTCTGCACATGGCCTGTGTGCATTTCCAGCCAGAGGGGCCAGACATTCAGTTCTTCAAAGCACAAGTGTTATTAGCACCTGGGTGTGGGCACATGTGGGGCCTAGCTGTGAACCAGACCGACGGAGGCTGCCCTGTAGGTGGGGGAACTACCTCCTCAGCCCTGTGAGAGCTGGGCGCCCACACGAACCCGTGTGTGATCCCAGTCAATCCACGGGAGTGACTAACTCCTTTCTTCTCCTTTCGCCCTAGTTGGCCAGGCTGGCCCCAGCAGAGGCAGAATGCACGTCTTCAACGACGGGGTGCCCAGAGAGGGTGCTAGGAGACCTGCAGCACTGTGCGGTAACCCCAGGGGACTCCAGAAATACCGGGGACCAGACTAGATTTGCAAGAGATCAGACGCTCTGTGGGGGGTGGGGGTGGGTGGCAGTCAGGGCTAGAGTCCAAGGAGACCTAAACATACATGTCAGTTCCGACTGGGCCTGAGACACATTTAGAACACGTGTATTTTCCAAACGGTATATAATTACACAGTACAATTACAATCAAATGGGAAAACCCCTCTGTCTTACAATAAACTATGCTCTGCTCCCCTGCCACCCCCCTCCTCACGTGGTCCCCACCCCGTCACTAGTCACACCACACACGCAGTCTTTGTTGCTCACGCCTAGGTAGGATCTACATTCCGGTGGCAAGGAGAAGTCAGCGGTTCGAGAAAAGCCATTACCGGGAGGAAGTTATCCCCTTACAGCAGCAGAATTTATAACTGAAAAATGGGACACCATTAAAATGTTCTGACACTAAGACTGACGCCATACAGGCCAGTCATCCACTTAAGAGGCTATTACGTAGCCATCGAAACAATGCTCAATAGTTGGATTAACATGGAAAATGTTTTTATCAAGTTAGGTGAGAAAAGCAGAATGAAAATTTATCTACCTTTGCCTAACCAAAGGAAACACATATCTCAAGCCTATATGCAGAAACACACACGCGCACGCGTGTACACACACACACACACACACACAGCGAGGTTACACCGTGGCTATCTTTATTTAGAGGGAATTTTGGTTACTGTTCCCTTCTTCTCTTTGCCTTTCTGTACTTCTCAAGCATTCTATTATGTGAATTACTGTTTTATAAAATGAAAAAACCCACATTTTAAATATTTACATCAAAATTAAAGAAACAGCCTGCTGTTCTTAAATTAGCCTGTTAAATCACTGGAATGAATAGTCTCCTCAGGGCTGACTGCAGCCAAAGTGGGAGAAGAATGAGTGTTTTCATGGAAGACCATTCTCGTGATGTTAGCAAAGGCTGACATTGAGGGAAACCTAGTCTTCTAGGTTTCTGGACCAATCCTAATGTGCATGTGTAATGGTACGTGTGTGTGTGTGTGTGTGTGTGTGTGTGTGCTTGTATGTTTCTGTTCATGTGTATTCATGGGCATGTTTGTGTGTGTTGTGTGTGCTGGTGTGTAGTGTTCCCCAACAACCAATTCTGTGACATGAACAAGGTGCCTGAGAATTGAGTTAAACTCAGAGTCTACTCCGTGATTCAACAGGTTGAGGGCTCCATCCACAAGACTGCCCCCCTTCACACACAGATCGCAAGTCAGTGACACAGTGGCCCCTGTGCTTCTGACAGACTGGCTACGAGTCAGAGGTTCTCATTATATCCCCCCTCCCCTCATTCCCGCCCCCCCCCCCCAATTGGATTTGGTTAATTTGCTAGAATGGCTCACAGAACCATTCGTTCACTAGATCACCGATTATTACAAAGGACACAGAAGGGCATGAATCACTAGCCAGTGAGACAGGGCGAGGTCCTCACCAAAGGAGCTGGCCTTGTGGAGCTGGGCCTGGCACAGAGGCACGGCCAGCATGCTGCTTCCCCAGTGTGCACACTCTCTGAACGCTGTTCTGGGTTTAATGGAGGCTTCATTACGTAGGCATGACTGATGAATTTATTGGCCATTGGCAATTGATTCAACCTCTAGCCCCTCTAGATATAAGGGGGTGGGACTGAAAGTTTTAATTCCCAATCACACGGTTAGTTCTCCTGGCAAAGAAGCACCCATCCTTAGGTGCTTTACAAAAGTCACCTCATTAACATAAACCATCCATCAACCAACCTATCCACATTCATCCATCCATCCACACCACCCACTCCCACCCATCCATCTATCCACATCCATCTATCCACATACATCCATCCATCCGTCCATCCACCCATCCATCTATCCATCCCCATCCATCCCCCCACCCAGATACTTGAACACTCACCATGTGAAAGGCATAGTTCTAGGCATTAGAGATAAACCAGTAAATAAAACAAACTCCTGCCTTCATGGAGTTTACATTCGCATGGTGATAGTGGGAGAAACAAATAAGAAACATGTTAAATATTGTACAGTACTAGAAGCCTGGTGCATGAAGATTCCCTCAGCCCGACCTGCACCCTCTCCAATCTGGGTGCCCTTAGGGGAGCCCTCTCCAATCTGGAAGTTTCTGTCTTTGCAATCATATAAGTGAATTGTCTGAGACCCCAACCCAGTTTGGTTTGTTGCTCAAAGAATAATAGATACATTTTTCTTTGCTTCATGGGTGGAGATTTCTTGAAAGTTTTAGGATATCTTCCCTTTAATTTTTCCTAGACACTCTGATTTTACTTATGTGTCTCACCTTTGCTTTCCCTCCATTCTCCCACCGCAACAGTAACTTGCTCCAGGCTCACTTTGCTCCAGTGTCTAGGAGATCCATCTGCCACCAGAACTATGATTCCCAGCATTCCTGGTACTCCCCAAGTTCTGGGCTTCCACTTCTGATCCTGGGGCTGCCACCAGAACTACTATTCCCAGAATTCCCGGTGCTCCCCAAGCTCCCTTCCTGCTCTGTCTCTGTCCCTCAGCTTCCCACTCTGGCAAGCCCTCCAAGTCGCCAGCTCTCCCTCTCTGCTCTCCAGCTGGTGACTTGGGGAGCCAAGTTCCCCAAGCCACTCCACTCTCTGCCTGGTGCCTGTGTATGCAAATTAACCCATCTGTGTTGGGTTAATTTGCATACACACTGCTGATTGGCTGGTGAGCAGAGGTACAGCCAATTTACATGTTTCTCTTTTATTATATAGGATAATATAAACTAATGCATGTCAGGGAGAAAAATTAATCTGGGAAGGAGAATGCAGAATGTAGGGTGGGGAACATGCAATTTAAAATAGGATTATCAGGGAAAACCTCTCTGAGAGGCTCATATCTGAGCAGAGACACGAAGGCGGTGAGGGAGCCTGGTGTGCCGGGAGCAGAGTAATGGCTCAGGAAGTACGAAGGGAGGGTAGGAGACGAGGTCTACTGAGAGGCAATGGGAGGCCAAAAGGTGCAGGGTCCTAAGGGCTACGGGAGGATTTGGCTTTCTCTTAGTGAGGTGAGAAAACATGGGAAGATTTTGAGCAGAGGAGTGACCTAACCTAACGGAGATTTTAACAGCATCACTCTGGCAGTTGTGTTGAGAAAAGACTACAGGGGCAAAGCCATCACAGGGGTACTAGTTAGCAAGTTACTAAAATAATCTGTGGGAGAGATGGGTGGCTCAAACCAGTGTGGTAACAGTGGAGATGGTGAGTAGTGGTCCAACTCTGGATGTGTTCTGAAGGTGGAACCTACGGGATTTGCTCACGGATGGGTGTGTGGTGTGAGAGAAAAAGAAGAGCCAGGATAGCGCCAAGGTTTTTTGTTCCTTACCATTCTGCCTCTTGTCTATTTCACCAACAGCCTCCATGCTGCTACATCCGACCAAAGCTCAAACCTCATTGTTCTTGACCTCAGAGTCCTTAGGTCTTTCTTCTCTTGGCTCTGATCAAGCTGCCATTACCTGCGATGGACAGGGTGGAGGTGGGGGGTGGGGTGGGGAGCCCAGTTTGGAGATAAAGTTTGAGATGCCCAATACACAGGCAAGTGGAGATGTTGAGTTGACAATGAGATATGAATCTAAACTCAAGATGTTGGATCTCCGACAATAAATTGACCAAAATGTATAAACTTGTAAATAAATATTTAAAATTGTAGGAGTGGAAAGGATTATCTAAACAGTAAGCTTAGGTACAAAAGAGCAAATGTACAAGGTCAGCACCCAGCGCACCTGGGCTCGTAGAGGGTAAGAAGTGAGGGACTATGGAAAGAGACCAAGAAGGCTCAGACACAGAGGTGTGGGGAGAACCAGCAATGGGGTGTCCGGAGAGCTAAGTGAAGAAAGCCTCCAGGACATGAGGTCGAGGACTATGAGGTTTGAGCATTGATTAGACTTACCAACACGGAGGCCACTGGTGACTTAGACAAGGACAGGAATGGTGGAATGGTAGACGACAAAGAGCTTGACTAGGGAGGGCTGAAGGGAGAAAGAACCTAAAGGACAAGACTTTTGAGGAATTTTGCTGAAGTCTTCCAGAAAAATGGGGCACCAGCTGGAGTGAGGCAGGAAGTGAGGTCAAGGAAAAAGTAAGATAAAGGAATGCTATCATGGTTTTGTGAGATGAAGAGATGGTGGTGGCAATGCCCAGGGTCTGCCCCTCCTCTCTCAGCTCCTGGTGCCCATACTGGACTGCAAGCTGGACTGGACCCTGCCCCGGGACTCCACCCACATGCCTGTACCTCTGCGTCCACTGCACCCTACTTCCCCATACCCCTGGCAACAGGGTTCTTAGAAATACCAATCAACTTGGAAACTTATCACTTTAAAATGTAGAAAAAGGCAGTTAAGCAAACATTGGTTTATTGAATACTTACATGTGCCAGGCCCTGGAGATATAGCAAACAGGACAAAGTCCCTGACCTCCAGGCACTCACAGTCCAGTGCAGACAACAGATTAATGCAGCAGGGAGTACCCCCTTCCACCCCCAAAAACCCCAAGGCCTTACCATCAGGGGGGCTTACCCAGGGACGCATGCACAGAAGCACATCACCATGCCTTTATGCTGTAACAGTGCTGCGTAGGGACCAGATGTTGGTGTGTGTGTGTGTGTAGGGGGGCTGCTTCTGGTCCTGTGGGGAGAAGCCAGCAGCAGCAGGGTGAAGAGTTAAGTGGACTCAGCAGGCAGAAGCTTATTCCAGAAGTTTGCTGTGAAGGAGAGGATTTGGTCTCTTGAAAAATGATTTGTTTTAATGTGTTTAAGAGTTAAGCATATTTAAATGCCACAAGGACTAGAGGGCAAAGGTTAACCACGGGAGCGAAAGGGATAATGGGTGAGCTCAGGTAGGTGTGCAGATCTGGAAGCAGAGTTCAACCCAGGAGCTCCCGGTGATGGCTGATCTCCATGAAACAGGAAGCAAGCTGATCCGAGAGTGATGGAGATCAGAGGTCAGAGTTCAGGGAACTCCTGGCTAGAGGGATAGCTGAGAGAGAAGAGGGTTGGGCGCGAGGTGGAGAGCACTTCCCGCAGGTAAGGACAAGGCTCAGGAGCCTGGGGAAGGCAGGAAGGTGGCTAAGGCTGAAGGAAGGTCAAGTGGGTGGACTGGGCCCTGGGGGTCACGGGGTGGCCAGCAGTCAGGGCGGATGGGGGTGAGGCAGTGAAGCTGGTGCTGAGAGACCACAGAAACAGGAGCACCAGAGGAGCTTCTGCAAAGACCGGTGCTCAGAGGGCCAGAAGCCACAGGGAGGCTCCTGCAGGCCCGGCCTTGGACTTCACGGACTTCTCCCAGGTTAGCCAGCTTACAAATTTAGGAAGCCATCTGCCTTCTTTCTTCATCTGAAGTCAAGTCCACGTTGTATCTTGGATTGATGGATTAACACACACACACACACAGGCCAGAGAATGGTGTTTCTCTCTTTTATTTAAAAACAGTGCTTCATTACCATTGGCAAAGGCAGAGGTGGTGCTCCCCCTTCGCGTAGAGTTTATAAAAGCCAGCAACATGATCAATAATTTATACACATGGATAGTAATACAAAAAAAAAAAAAAAAAAGGAATAAAAGCTAAAGATCTAACTACTCCGACCTTCACAATTCCAGCTACTTGATAATAATAGGAGTAACCCAATGAATACTGTATGGTCTGAAAGCTACTATACAATATGATTCTTAACGAGAAGGGAGGGAGTCAGAGGCTGTCACAAAGCCCTGGGTGCTTCTCTGGAGTCCGCAGGGAAACGGGACCCTGGGCGAGCAGCTCGGGGGTCCTAGGAAGTGATCTGGGGAGGGGAGGGCGAGAAGGCGAGGCGGTCAGTTACACAAGCATCCCACGTGACACCCCCGGGCCCCGAAGGTACCTGTTTGCCATGGCAATGGGAGGGGCCGGGGGACACGTGTGGCGTGGAGGGCTGGTTCGGTCCCTGCCACGGGGGTGGGAGGAGAGGTGCTGTGGCGTTTTGAGCCTTGCAAAGATTTGGACTGGAGAGCTCAGAGACTCGGGGAGCCCACCTGCCAGGCACAGGGACCCCGGCCCTCAGCTCCACAGCCCGAGCTTACGTGTGGCAGCCCCAGGTTTGCTCCAGCTTTTCACAAGCAGAATTATAACACAAGAGAAACAACTCATGTCCCTTAGGGAAAAAAGAGGATCAATTCACACTCGATATATAATACAGCCGAAACGAGCTGCCAAAACAAGCACACACACACACACACAAATACTGTGAACAGAAAAATACAGGAAATGACTAAGCTCGGAGCCTTGAAGGGGCACAGACACTGCTCAAAGCACTTAGTCCCCAGAAAAACTAAACCAAAAAGACAGTTTTTTTTTGTTTTTTTAAAATTCAAAATCTCGTGGACCCCCCTGGGAATCTGGTGTCGCTCACAGGGACGGGGGGGGGGGGGGGGGGGCAGGAGAGAGAAGAGAACCAGCGTTCCCTTTCTGCCTGCAGTGGCCGAGCCCTCCCAGCGGCACACACAGCGGCCGGCAGAGGTCCGGCCCGCACTGGCAGGCTCCTAAAGGCAAGGTTGGGTGTTGGCTGATGGACGTTCTCAGTCACCAATCCCTGCCAACCAGCACCGCCATGGCTGAAGTGATCGACCGTTTTCCTGAGTAAACTAACTGGCTACAGTGCTGGTGACGTGGATGGGAACTCAGCCCCCACAGCCAACTGCGGCCCTCCAGCACCCTCGTGCCTCGGCTCCGTGTGGGGATCAGGAATTGGAGAACCGGCTGCGGTCCGGTCTGCAAGCCTCACTGTGAGGACAGGTGCCAGGCACTCCGCCACACTCCCCACCCCGGAGGGCACGTGCTGGCTTGGGACACCGGAGTCCCTGCTTCGTGCTCCACTAGCTCCCGCACTGAGAGCTGACACTCGGATGGCTATGGCCTGGTTGATCAGTAAAGCAAGTGTGAAGGAAGTACAGAGGAAAGGGGAGAGGGAGGGAAGGAAGAGGCTTTTGAACAGTAACATTTTCAAAATGTAAAATAAAAGTGTTTTATGCAACAGAGAATCAAGTTTCACTGTGTACACTACAAATGGCCAAACATTTTCAAGAGCAAGACAAAATAAAAACACACAAATTTACGTCTGATGTTCACCTTGCCCACTATTTTTTTTCCTATCTTAAAACAGTGCAAACAGGTAACTTATGCTTTTAAAACACCACTACCCCTTCCCCACCACCCAAGGTCTCTTTCCTCGTTATCCGGGGGTGGAGCGAGGGTGGGGGTAAAATCTGCAAATGTTACTGTGCTAAAGGGTTGCAAGCAGCAGAGAAGCGGCCGGCCTTGGCGACAGGGGAGGTTGACAGCGCCCCCTCTCCTTCCTTACATGTCTAGTGCCTTCCAGACTGTCTCTTGCTTGGCCAAGTTCTCCTGCCAGAGGGAAGGGGTAATCAAGCCCACCTCGCAGGTCCTTGGAGTTGCTTCCATCCCAAGTTCCCACTTCCCTCCTATCTGGAAGCTACGGGACTAGTCACAGGGTGACGGCGCCTCACCGAAATCTCGGCTGCCTCTAGGAAAGTCTAACCTTCACTAAGAGCAGTTCAGCCTCCGAGGAGTCACACGTGTGAAGAAAAGCTGCTATCGCTTATTTCTAGGAAATAGATCTCCACTAGCTCCCCTTAAACTAAGAGCTGAGCCCTGGCCCCCTTCCTTTTGTAAGGAAAACGAGAGGCTCAGTCTGACTGTGGCTGCTGGAGGATAACGGTGATGGCAGGTTTTGTGAGACCCGAGTCTTAGAAAGGACCAATCGCCACAGCTGACCCCTGACCCAGTCCTTGGGGGCGGAGCTGTGTAATACTAGGGGTTCTGGGAAAGACCTAAGGGCAGCTCTCTGGGGGCAAAGAGGCGTGTTTAGATAAAGATCTCCACTAAGGGTCTCCTTGAAGGAGCCCAGCTTCTAAGAGCAAGATGCTTAGTATAGGAAGTCCACGTCATGAGCTAAGTGAGCTGCTGAAATCTCTCCTGCACAGCGACTCAGCATCAGTATGTTTTTAGGAATTATCAACCAGCACGCTCTAACGAACTCGCAAGATGCCAAACTCTCTTCTGACTCGGTTACTCAGTCCTGGAGGAACCTGCCTCTGATGGAGTCTCCAAGTTCAAAGGTGGATGGGAGGCCAATACAGCCAAACCCAGGGGTTTCCGAGGCCTACTTCTCAGGGGGGATACCCAAACCCAGAGGCCCGTTAGCGAGCAGCAGAACCCACCGGGTCCTGCTCAGGAAGGAGCTGGGGGAGCAGTGTTACCACGCCTAGAAGGCAGCAGAAGCCCGTGAACACGGAGCTTGCCCGGGGTCCTCAGCCAGAACCAGCTGAACTGAAATGCACAGAAGGTACCTCCCGCTCAAGCTCTGCCTCTTAAAAGGGTCGTGGGAGCTGCCTTCTCTACCTTTGCCTTCATCCTCATCTATTCCTGGGGAAGAGAAGACTCTTAAACTCGCTGCCCTCCTCTCTGCTGCGGACACGGCTGTTCAGAATGTGGCCTTGTCTCCAAGGAGGTTCTTGCCATTCTGTGAGAATGGCCCTCTTTGAACATGACATGAACTTTTCTCTCATTTCCTTTAGTCAGTAAAAGCTCACCTCAAAACAAAAGAAAAAGAAATCTTCCTGCGCCCCAATTCCCTAGAACTTCCCACCCCCACCGCTAACTAAAAGGTTTATATACACACAACAAAAACTGCCTTGACAGCAACAAAGCAAACTTTGGCTTGGGGAGGTGAACCCTTAAGAAGTGGCCAGTGGACTGGGCAGCTTGGTGTCCCCTATTCTACACACTCCCCAGAATCAACGACTGCATCAAGGCCTCTATCTTCCTTGATGTCTCCCCTAATTTCAGGGTCAGCCTCTCTCCCAGTTACTCGGACAGAGGATTCACAAGGGGAGAGACATGTATTACAGCCGACAGGCCAGTCCCTCCCAGACACATGACTGCTTACAAAGATGCTTGATGCTGTCGCATGTCAGTCACTTTAATGCAGGGACACCAATCAGTCAAGAACAGGTGTGGAGGCAGGAATTAAAAAACCAAAACCAAACCCATAACAAACCAGAAGCTCCGTGTCTTTGAATTACTCCCTTCATGAGCTATCCCTTGGGTGAAAGGTCACCCTAGTACCAAAGTGAACAGACCAGGGAGCCAGACAGACTATGCTTTCCTATTTTCTATGCCTTCAGGCTGAAAGACAGGACCCTTGCCTCTATCAGCAACAGCCCTGACACACTGCATGGGCCGCCCCGTAGCTCCTGGCCATCCCTGCTTCCTTCCCACTGGAGGAGAGCAGCCTCGGGGCTTCATGCTTTCTGTCCTGTAGTGTTCATGAATACCAAGTGGTCCAGGTGCTCAGCTGGGGTCTTTGGAGGATAATAAGAAACTGGGTGGAATGGCCACGGGGGCTCAAGACTGGAGAGAGAGACTCATAAAGGCTCTGGAGGATGACATTCCTATGGCTTTGGAGCTAGTACAGTGCCATCGCCGCCCTGACAGGCTTCCAGGGACAGCTGACCCAGGACTCGGTTCTTGCCTCTTGCCAAGTCTTCATTCTGCCTTGTACTCTGAACTGCCTTTCTCATGGAAGAGGAAGATCGGGAGCATCAGAGTGCCTTGCAGACAGTCTAACAGCTTGTCTCTTCCCTTTCTCTTCTGTACTGGCTCTTGACAAATTGTACTGCATTCTTAAACCGTGTCCAGGAAGAAAGCTGGCCGCTAGCTATTTATTTACTTTTCTGTCCCTGGGTCCTAAATTCCTGAATCTTGAGGACATTCGGGCAAGGTGTTCCTAAAAGGATAGATGAGCTAAGCTGTGGTTCAGTGAAAAGGGAAGGAGCCCAGCAGGAATGCTAGAATGGCAAGAAAGAAAAGAATCTTTTTCATACTCCAGAGTTCATTCTGAGATTGGTTTCCTAATGAGGTGTTTATTATCCACAGTCTGAGAGCAAGTTTGGAAATATTAATATTACAATCCAAAAACTCTGCCAACTGTCTCAGGCTGTGCATGTAAGATGATTGTAAAAAGAATGGAGAAGACAGGAGGGAAGAGGAGAGGAGAGTGAATTTTTAATTCTCCTGCTTGGCAAGCACAAATTCCTATCATCCATTAGCATGTGGGTTCCAGCCACAACCAAGCAGAATTGCCTGCCAAAGACCAGAAACTCAGAAGACTAGAAGGCTATCCTGTGGTAGAAAGATCTCTCTCGCCTCTGTGTGTCCCCTCGCCGGCCAGCACCATACACTTTGGTAATTCTGTCTGCTGATTTCTGATCAGACGCATTTCTCAGTTCCTAATCTCTCTCTTCCCTCATTACTTGCCTCTTCCGTGATTGACAGAAAGCTAAGCACGGACATACAGACATGGAAATGCATTTTTTTTTTTTACCACAGTTAAAAAAAAAAAAAAAAAAAGGAAAAAATAAAAGAGAAAAAAATGCACAATCTTTGGAACAAAAGAATTAAAGGCAGAAATTTAAAGGAAAAATACATATTCAAAGAACATAGTGAGGTATAAAAAAGTATTCTCTCTTTTTTTGTGTTTTTTTTTGTTTTTTGTTTTGTTTTGTTTTGTTTGTTTTTCCTCTTCATCTTGCTATAGAGTTCCTCTACTAGTAAATATTGCAATAGCCAGGCCTCATGAACTGGGGGCTGTCCCACTTGCAGGGTCTCACGTCACTTCAGTAGGGGGCAAATCGGCTGTAGCCACCTCGGTATAAACTCGCCTGCAGTGATTAAAGACATAAAAACAATTAAAAGGTTGATGAGAGAAGCATTAACAATGAAGAAAAATGTTTTGGGTAAACAGCTTCCTTAGAAGCTTTAAAGCAGCTGATGAGATGCTGCCGGGTGCAGGGCAGTCAGGAAACCACTGGCCTCCGAGAGGCTCGAAGCAGAGCCCGGGACACTCCCGCTGACCTGAGCTTCTCAGAACGAGGGCAGGCCAATGGGGCGCTTGGTTATCCACATGAACCAGCAGAGGGTCAGCACAGTGCACAACTAGATCTGTCGATGGGTCTTCGTTTACCTCGACGACATCCTTACAACCGTGACCTTTTTACACTTGTCAATGGAGGACATGCCACCTCTGACCACTATTTCTGTCATATCCCCTGTTTGGGACAGTGTTGGATTTAAATCTGAGTCAATCTTTCAATGAATAAAGCCCATTTCCTGACATACTTGTATGCATAACTGGGGTTTTAACTGGGTTTTATTCCTTTATGTTTATCTAATGGCATCTCTTTTTTGCAAATAAAACATCCCTAGGAGCATAGATAGCTCTCTTTGCGTTGTTTTAGTAGAGAACTAATATCATGTTGGCACTAAATAAAACCTTAGGAATGTCATCACTTTCTTCGTATTGTATGTCTCTACCTTAATTCTAAACACACCTCTCCACTCCCACAAATCTCCATGGGCAGGAAGTCAGTGCGACAATGACAAGCTCTCTCATTTACTTTAAGTCTTAAATCCAAGCCCTCAGTCTGCCTCCCTCACACTCTATCCACGCTCCCAGGCAGCGGCCGGGCTGCACTTTGGATGGCAGAGTTTCGGACATTAGTAGTGTTACAGCGGAAAGGCCCATCTTTGCTGGGGTCAGGGAGTCCCCATTGTTGGACCTGGAGGCATCCAGACCAACACAAAAATCTTGGGGTGAGGATTTGAGTTCGGTTAGGGGCCATGATTCTATCCTTCTATGGAAAGACCGTATTTTGCAACAGATGTTACTACTAAAGCATCTTTGTAAGGCGTTCACCTGTGATTTCTAGTACCATCTAGCACACATGTGTCAAACACAAATCCGTCCCACCAGGCCTTGCAATGTGGCCCGCACCGCGCCGTCATCACTTCACTCCGCTGCGTTTCCATCACAATGACAGTTTATGACTGTTCAGTAAACCATTCGGCCCGCGATTTAGGCTGGATTTTAGATTTTGGCCCCTTCTCTGATTGAGTTCGACACCCCTAATCTAGCAGAAAGCTTAAGAATAGGAGGGACAGCTGAAACCGGTTTGGCTCAGTGGATAGAGCATCGGCCTGCAGACTGAAAGGTACCAGGTTTGATTCTGCTCAAGGGCATGTACATTGGTTGCGGGCACATCCCCAGTAGGGGGTGTGCAAGAGGCAGCTGGTCGATGTTTCTCTCTCATCGATGTTTCTAGCTCTCTATCCATCTCTCTACCTCTCTGTAAAAAAATCAATAAATTAAAAAAAAAAAAAAAAAAAAAAAAGAACAGCAGGGACAGACAGCCTTTGGCACCTGCATTTGAAACTGGTACAAATTAAGTTTTCTGAAAAGCTTACCGTGAAAACTGGAGAGTCTTACGCCCTGAAGTCCTTGCTAACACCTATCAATAAAACTACGCTACAGTTATGAATCCAACATTTGAGTCATTAAGATATCAATCTGTTTCCTTCTTTCTCTCTCCCAAAATGTCTTACTCGGGGAAGATTGCCACTGCCCATTCCTTTCCGCTGTCCTTGCCCAGCCTGTGGCTTGTGCTGTAACACCCAGGGAGAGAAGGTGCTTTGAAATTTCCAGCTGGTCCTATGTGGCTTTATTGCTTTAGTAGTGGAAGAAGGGCTAAATTTATTATCTCCCTAGACCTTATATAGTCTGTAGGTAGAAGTCAGGAGTAAAATGTTAAAAAAAAATTGTATATATACTTACCACAGCGCCAACTCCATAGCTAGCGGCAGGGGCAAGGGCATGGTAGGGGTCAGCTGTGTACACCCTGCCATAACTGGAAAGGAGAAATACAATGAGGGAGAGAAAGAAAAGATAGTGACCTCCTCCCCCCGCAAATTAAAGAATTTACTGTGTTAAGACTTGTGAGCGACTTGGTCTTAGAATGATTATTAGGAAGTTGGCAGAATGGAAAAAAACCTTTAGATTCCTATTCTTAAACGCAGTACTCTGAAAAATTCTGAAATCTCTCAGATGGAGAAGGGAGTTAGAGATGACAAAGAGGGAGGCTGGGGTCAAAGGAGGCAGTGCCTCGGCTTTTGGACGGAGGCCAGGAGAAGGCCAGGCCTGCAGGCAGCTGGCACGAGGTGCCGTTTTGGAAGCGGGGAAGGGCGAAGGGACGGTGACACTTGGGACCACGTACGTACCCGTCGCTGTAAGCGGCGGCAGCGGCTGCAGCAGCCGTGGCTGCGGTTGCAGTAGCAGGCTGTGCATATCTGTAGGCTGCATATCCGGCCTACAGGAGAGAAGAGAACTGACTTTACAGCTACCTCTCCCCCCGAAGCACAAATGCACACACACCCACCCACACGAGACAGACACAGGGAGACACAAACACAGACACACACATGGGAGGAGGATGTTTCAAACTGCATCGGTCTACATGTTACTCCCCTAGTGCAAGAGTAAGCTCCACCCAGCACAGGGACTTGCTGTTCAATTTGTGATGGCAACAAAACAAAACAAAAAAATCCATCTTGGTAGTACCTGCTCTCAAATTTAAGAAATGAAGAAATGAATTTCGATCTGTCTTGTTTCAGTCTCTGCTGGAACTTTCAGCAGGGAAAATATTTATAGGAAGTTGGGAGAACTTGGACTGACAGGAAGTATCAATGATAGGATGAAAACATTAAATGAATTGTGTTAGCGTCAGATTGCCTGATGCCTACGCAGACTCTTACTGCTAAGGGACTGTAGTATATAACAAAGGCCTTGTATGGCGATGCCCAGCATGCTTGCAGAGAGGCTGAGAGAGGAGGCAGTCTATAGAAGGAAAAACCAGGGTAGATCAGGGGTGGCAAACTTCATACTGTGAGACAGGTCACTTGTCACCTGTTTTTGAAAGTAGTTGTGGCAGAGACTGTCTGGCCGACAATATTGAACTCTTGGCCCTTTACAGAAAAAGCTTGCTGACTCCAAGCTGTATTTAAAACTCAGGCAAGTCAGACTACAAAAAGGGCTGATGCCCTTTTGGCTGGATTAGAATAGGTTTAACTGCATTTATTCTCCTTTCCTGTAGGATTATGGATTCTCAAGTCCTGATCCAATCGCAGGCTGGGGAGTTTTCCTACTAATGGCTCAAATACCCTCACTCCTAAGGAGCTGCTACTGCCTCAGCCTTGAAGATTCTCACTGCTGGGTGAACCCCATGTACTCCAGAAAGGGGCGCAAAGGTAACCACACAATACCTCACGAGGCAGGCTATTGCAGTGGCAAGCCGGACCTTTGGTTTCTTCTTTAACCTTCTAGAATTCCTCTATTCAGGTGTGAATTTTTATTACTGCCTACCCCTATCAAATATGACTATGCTCAGCTGGCCCATTCTGATACCACTTCAGGAGTGGACGACAGCACGGTTGGTTTCTACAGGTTAGCATGACCATTTCTCATGGACATCTGGAGCTTTCTGCCCTGTGCTTTCTACTTTCTATTCCCTCAAATGTTCCAGTTTTGTTAAATCTAAAAGCAAGGAATCACAAATTCCGTTCTGTATCATTTCTTAGGATGGATAACAAGTATCTTCTAATGGGAGTCTTGCTCTTCTTGGCCATCTGAGGTGGCAGCTTCTAGCTGGCTGCTCTTATTTCTGTCCACATCTTACTTTGGACATATCTGCAGTTCCTGACAGGCCCCTAGAGCTCTCTGCTTTCCTCTTCTGTCGTGTGCGCTTTCCCTAGCTGAAGAAACGGCACTGAGGAGCATTTACTCTTGCTCTTTAGATTTATTTGCCTGAGTCAGAGACCTTCAAATGTGCACTTTAAAATCCCCTGATTTGTTTTCAGTGGTTATGTATTATCCCATCTTTGCTCTTCAAGGGAATGACTTAAAAAAGTAAAAATTTATTTCTCAGTTACAGATTATTCTACAGATATTCATACAAATTAAGAAAATTCGCCAAAACCGGTGTGGCTCAGTGGTAGAGCATCGGTCTGCGGACTGAAAGGTCCCAGGTTCGATTCCGGTCAGGGGCATGTACGTTGGTTGCAGGCACATCCCCAATAGGGGGTATGCAAGAGGCAGCTGGTCGATGCTTCTCTCTCATCGACGTTTCTAGCTCTCTCTCTCCCTTCCTCTCTGTAAAAAATCAATAAAATATATTAAAAAAAAAAAAAATTCTGCCCGGCCAGTGTGACTCAGTGTGAGCGTTGACTTTTGAACTAGGAGGTCATGTGTTCGATTCCTAGTCAGGACATATGGCTTGATCCCCAGTGTGGGGTATGCAGGAGGCAGCTGATCAATGATTCTCTCTCATTACTTATGTTTCTCTCTCTCCCCCCCCTCCCTTCCTTTCTGAAATCAATTTCAATATATATGAAAATTCTAATTAATATTTGCAAGCACTGGCAATGACAGGACCTGGCAGGAAGCACCTCAGGGGCTACTTACTGTCAATCAACATGCCTCCTTTCATTCTAGTCAGTTCTGTGGGAGCAGGCAGGCTGGACCAATGTGGGTGACACTGTACAGCCCAGCTGCAACCTATACACATATCACATCATTTATAAACTAACAAGTCTCTCTCTCTTAACTTCTAAAGGAAACAAAGCAGCAAAGGCATTTGTTAAGGCAACAAGCTAGTAAACACTGTTGGAATGCTAGGCTCTGAGTGAACCTTAAAGGCTCAGTTTCCGTTATAACGGGAGACTCCATCGGTGCAGAACTAACGCTGGTCCTGTAACGTGTGCAGCAGGGTCCCCTCTGCTAAAACTTCTTTGTGAACCAGGCTGACGTGGTAAAGAAGCATTCATGGTTTGCCTCTAGTATTCTCTCAAACACCAACGTATCTTTAAAAAGTAAAAATAAAAGTCAAGGTAATAAAAGCAGTTAAAGCCTCACATTTGTCTACTTGAACGGAAGATTAAAACTGAAGTTCTGCTGAAACCAGTTTTGCTCAGTGGATAGATAGGGTGTCGGCCTGTGAAATGAAAGGTCCCGGGTTCGATTACGGTCAAGGGCATGTCACCTTGGTTGCAGGCACATCCCCCGTAGGGGGTGTGCAAAAGGCAGCTGATCGATGATTCTCTCTCATCAATGTTTCTAACTCTCTATCCCGCTCTCTTCCTCTCTGTAAAAAAATCAATGAAATATATTAAAGAAACACACACACACACACACACACACACACACACAAAACTGAAGTTCTAAGCCATAGGGGTCACGGTACTAGAAGTAAATCTCCCTAAAGACAGAGATAGTGGGGAGTACATCATGTCAGCACCGCTCTGAGGGACACCCCACTATTTTGGGGGGGGGGGAAGAGGTTCTGAATGAGATTTTCAATAGAACAATTCCCCTCAGGAGCCACCAGAACCCCGATGCTTTGGGGGCGATGTTGTTTAGACTCCAAAGGGATCAGACTGCGGGAAGAAGCTTCCTTCCCAGCCAGAAGGAGGAGGATAAGATCCACCTGCAGCAGTTTCCTTCGACTATAAGTGAATTGACTTTGGAGTGTGCATCTGTTGGGCTTCTCTGCTATTCAAATTCAGGTAACAGGGCAGGGATGCAAATATTTTATTGATAAGAAAAGGCTCCAGGAGGATATCAATATTAAGAAAAACTACATTAATGTTTTTTTTTAACCATAACTACTCTCTTAATTACTTCATGATAATGGTGTGACTGGGAGGTCTTTTACATGGGGGTCTGTGCTTAGGATGGACAGGTAATATCCTAATAAATGAATTTGGTAATTCATGATGATTACCGCAAAATTAGAAAAATTGAATTTTTTATCATGGATTTACTCTTCTTAGAGGTACTTACTCCAAAATATTTCTGATTCTGCTTTAAATCGATTGTTGAACAAACTATATCACAAAATATAAAACAGGACAAAGAAAATCCAGATATTTCTATTCCAAATTAGGAGTGAATAAAGACTCCAGGACAATACTTTCCCTTCTACCAGCCAATCTGAAACCTTTTATGGAACATGAGAACAAAGTGCAGTTTGAAACACCACCATTTTCATTACTGACTCTTACATTTTCCAAAAGAACAAGGGTAGGGAGGTGGGAAGGAGAGACAGGGCTCAGGCGAGGGGAGGGGATATGGCGCCACATTTATTAATCACATTAAGAACTAAGCATGCCAACATCTGGAGCTAAAACAACCAGCAAATCACCACGTTCAGACTCGGATTGGCTAACTCTATCTATCCCAGCATTCTCTTGGGACAGCGGTTTGCCCTAGGCTACCACAAGCTCGGTGAAGTACAGCCTCAATTACTAGAGCGTGCAGCCACAACGACCTGGTATTACGGAAACAGTCAGTCACCACTTGAGTTAACATTCCAGACCCTAACGACTGGCCCCTCCCCAGCCCAAAGAAAAAGGAAATCTTGCCCACCCTAGCCCTGGCCCACACCACAATGTTAATAATTATAACAAGCAGTAACCCATCTGTTATATCAGAGAAGGGAACAGAGACTCCACTGAGAGATTTAGAGTGAGATGTTAACATTTCTTCAGCTGACTGCACAAACAAACAAACAAAAAAAAAAAAAGAGGAGAAATAATTCATTTGGAGATATGAAGTCATGAAATAGCTGATGTGTATTGCTTTTAACCATGCACTGATGCAAAACTGAAGCAACCATTAATAATAAAAATTAAAAAGGACATATGTATTTACACACAATCAGACCTGTTTGATCTGAAGCAGTTTGCAGATTCTATCTGTGTGTGATTTGAAATAAAACAAAAAATGGGGATTAGCATGGCCACAGCACACCCTAATGTAGGAGGGCACACACGGACAGCTTTTGGAACCCTGATTGCTGGATAAATTTGGCATGGCTATGCCTGATGCAAATATATAAATGCCCCTTTAAAAATAATGACTTTCTGAGTCTTCTGCAATTCACTAGGCATGACTCTTAGTGCTCCAATGGGGCAGCCTAGTGCTACCTCACCCCCCTAGTCACCCTTCCTGACCTGGCAATGTGCTCAGTCCTGGCCTGCAGCCCTCTCGGGTATGCTTGCCCTTGGTCAACACCCATACATTCTGACGCACAGTGTTCTTCTAAAATGTCTCCTGTGTAAGCATTTATTATTACGCATAGCCATAACATATATCTGCCCTCAAATCCCAGCTTTTTCAAAGGAAAATGCTGTTACCATTAAAATCCTTTTGTTGTTGTTAAAGTCTGTTTTTCATGACTCAGAGTCACCTCCAGGGGATTTCCTACTGCACTCAGTCTATTCATCATCTAATGAGTTGTGTGACATTGCCACACTGACCACCCGCCTCTGCAGCTGGGCTAGACCACACTGGGAGGGCTCGCCATATCACCCTCCTGCATCTGACCTCTGGCTGCCGCTAATTCTCTTAGCTTAATCTCACACTGGCAGACTTTCCCGTCCTGGTTTTAACCTAGCCTTTAACTGTATGATATTTTGTTTTAGGTTTACATTAAAACAGGACTTTGGTGAGCATGTGATGTCAAGACACCTTCGTTCTACCTGGAAGACAATGACGTTATGTGACACTGAGGAGAAGGGTGTGTACTTCAATACCAGCAGACAGAACGAGAGCCTGTTCCTTGTATGTTGTGCAGGTTGATAAAGCAAGAGGGGTGTGTGTGTGTGTGTGTGTGTGGAATGGCAGGTGTGTGGAATGAAAATCACCACAGCAGAGAGAAACTGGCCTGGGCTGAGTGCTTCTGCGACCCATGTTGTTTGCCCCTACATGCTTCTACTCCTCCCTTCCCTCGCCTCTGCCCCTCTTCGGCAGAGAACTGCTGCTCTAGAATGCTCTCGTGTGAGGGCCTCCTGAGGAGACAGGGTTCTTATGTGGCAACATGGCGCCTTTGAAAGTGAGTACACAGACATGAGTATAAAAATTTATAATTGTTACAATCAACTTATCTTTCACTTATTCCTTCTCAGAGAGATGTGAGATCATCTTTAATGAATTAAATTTTTCAAACACTGCTATTCCACATCTCCCCAAAGTCGTTCATTTCCAAGCTCTCGCTGGTGCTATATCAATGAACTAACTGAATTGTGAAAAGCTATCCTAGCATCCAGCTACCAGCGGCAAACCTTCTAACAGTGCATTAGTTTCCAAATGAGCTCACTGATGTTGTTTTAAGATGAAAGGAAAGTGGAAGGGAAATACATGTTTCAGTTTTAGAGTCCCAATGTGTCTAGATTTTTAAGGCAGCACAGTCCAATTACCACTAGGATTCTACTACAGGGCCCAATTTGGGACTCAGGAGTCCTCTGTGGACAGATTCTACTTCCTTCCTCCTCTCATTTCTTTCAGAGTAATAAGAAAATGTCCCCATCTGCTAAGATCTCCAAATAGAAAAGCCCATTTAAGCACCACTATTCAATGTGATTGACAGACTAAAAGAGGTGGCAGTGATGGGACAGTGCACTAACACACCCGGGGTGGATATGTGGCAATGGGACAGGGGCACTTAATTTTAGAGGTAGTGCCATCATGTATGAACTTGACTGTGTGCACTGCTAAGTAGCAGGGCTTAGATCACACGCTCACAAGTCTTGATTGTCCAAAAAAGCCTCTGTTCCCATCTCTAACGTGGAGCTGGAATGGTTAGTATAATTCAATTTTTTTTCACTGCAATCCACATCTGATTGATTGGCAGGTCACACTGGCACTCCTACCTGAGGTATTTTAGCGCTAATGATTGGTTCCTGTAAGACTATTCTATAACAGAACACAGGAAGAGCAGTTCAAAAAACACAGCTGTGGAAGGAAAACAATCATACAAAAAGCCCGCTATGGGGCCCACCAGCCTTTTCTTTCCTTTTGATGCAAGCATGCTTTTCACAGGGCGACAATGAGGAGCAGTTTGTTACCCACTTAAAAAGTGAAGTAGATTGGACCATGCCTTTTCTACTGGTCGATAAGGGCAGGGGTGGGGGGGTGGGGGAGTGTGGATGGACACATAATCTGTGCTTACCCCACGGGTTGGGGGGGGGGGGGGGGAGGATCACTTTATAAATTACAAGCACAATCGCTACATCAGTTCTTAAAGAAGAAAGTGCATAAAAGATACAGAAAGGAAGAAAACGACTAGCAAGGATTTCAGCCTAGGAGCGGATCAGAGAAAAGAGATTTCAAAAACCTCCACAATTAATAGTCTAAGTTACTATAACAAAACAAAAGCAGCAACTTACACTCTTTTCATTCATGTCATCTCTCAAGTTCAAAGCCCGTTCTAACTAGCTAAGCCCTCCATCTTTCTATTTCTAGTCTGCCCTCTGAGGAAACAAGAGCTACATTTCCGCAGATGGAAAATGCACAGAGAGAAGCAGAACAAACTCAAGGTAAAATGATAGGGCTTTCCTGTGTGTGTTTTTAAGACGAATCCTTTGCTCCCTCACATATGGAATAGGAATATAAAATTCTAAAAGCTAGAGTTATATCTCACTCAACAGTTGCCCCAGAAAGTATTCTTATTTTTCATTAATGTATTCGGATATGATTTCAGTCCCAGTGACCAACTTTTTCCTCCAAGTACCTGCTTTAAGATAGGAAGTAAAAATAGTAATTACTACTAACTCCTTTCTTTCATCAACAAGAGGACACAGATCAAAAAAATATTTTAGTAAGGTCACTGAATTATTTCTGTTTAGCTTGATATGGTAATCTAGCAAGTAGATTAAAAAAAAAATTCAAGAGTATTTTCTCAACTACAGAAACATAATCTCTCTCTTAATGAAATCATATACTATGAACTATGGAAATGAGAGAATTGTCAACAAGTAATTTTGGTTAATTGACTTAACAAGGTGGAAGTAGGCCATACTTAAAAAAATCCCCAAATATGGAACATATTAGAGAGGGGGAAAAAACACCTTGATTTAAGAAATAATTCATATAGAAAGTGTACGCTAACAGAACAGATTTCAAGAAAACAACTTTAATAACCTAAAGATGAGTTTCATGAGAATATGGACACTAATGTAAATGGGAAAACATAGATGCTAAGGTCGTATGCAAAATGTGTACATACAGAAAAGTGTCATTTGGTGAAAATTAGGAAATATTTCCCTAATCCTTAAGTTTCACTGTCAGCAGAGGAAAGAACATACCTTTCCATACCTCTTGAAAATCAACTGAGGAAATATGTGAATTTTGATTAAATAGTAAGAGAGGTAATGAAATATGGATTTGTTGGGTTTTGTGCTTGGTTATACAATAACTTATGTAATCAAGGGTAAGTCACAATCTCAATGAGAGACATATCTTAGAAGTGAGAGGATTGGGCCCGAATCATGGCTAAGGTTCCTTGAAGCATTTCTCAAAAAATACTTTGAATAGGATAAGTGTATATAGTCATAGTACCATATAGGACCATTCTACCCTATCTCTTCTACATGCATTCTGAAAGTGCACAAACATTTTTAGATTGCCAGAGAATCTTTGGCAGATTGTGAAAATTAGTTCACTAAAAAGGTACCCTTAGTGATTTTGGGACATAAGGGTGGAAAAAGCATTTCTAGACAATTGTAACCTAGGTCCAAGAAATAATTTCATGGTGACAAGTTTACCTTACAAAATTGTTTTAGTGATTTAGTGGTTAGACCAAGCTTGCATTCAGAAAAAGGTCATTTGGGGAGGTCCCTGTAAAAGACTTCAAAAACTCACAAACTTTGACTCTTTGTCAGATCACTTTGTTCATATTTTAAATGATATACGACAAATCAATCAGAATGTTAGCTACAGCTAGACAGTCTAATTACCGGATTACATGTTTAACATGACTGGTACAACCAACAAATCATGTATGAGAGTCCAATGTTTGTAAGAGAAATCTAGGCTGCTAATTCTGCCACTCGTTTCTCTCTAGATGGCCCTTAGGAAAAGAGACCTACCGGTTGTGAACCTTCTAACACAGAAGGTCCTTAGGCAAGTGAGCATTGGTTTCCTCTCCTTCCCACCCACTCTTCACTAGCATCAGTTCCTTCTTTCGCTTTCACATGTTATTGCTCTCTCACAGGCAAAGACCAATTCAGAAAGATCACTGCCATCTACATAAATCAAAGCTCTAATGATCTAAAGAGGGATGTGAAATGAGAAGAAAAGCAGAAAAGGAAAGGAGCTGGTTGAAGGCTAACCTGTCCTGTCATTTATGTATGCACATGATACGACAGTAATAAAAGACTTTAAACCTGCTGATCATCTCGCAAATATGTTCGTGATCCATAGGCCGTCTGTGGGAACGGGGAAGGGAAAAGAATATGTCCAGTAGACTGACTCCAGCAATGACCAGGAAACCCAAAGGCTTAGTTTGGCACCCAGGGGAAAGCGCAGTGGCAGAGAAGCATGCTTGCATTCTTAAATATATAAATATATATATATCCACAAGGAAAAAGAAAACAAAAACTAAATAAATTATATTTAAAAAAAAAACAAAACAAAACACCAAACCAAAGAAACAGAAAAAAAAGGCTGGCTTGTCAGGGGGTGGGGTCGAAAAGGCCCCAGTGTGTGTACTTACATAGAGGTCAGCACCGTAAAATCCGTCCTGGTAAACCACACTGCAGAAAATCCACACAAAAACAAAAACAAAAAAACAAAAGAACAGAAACACATTCCGGTTATTGAGGACGGCAGCATGCACATGCGCTTTACATGGGCAGGTGATGTATGAATACATGGCCTGGGCTCAGGCCACGGCCAGTCAGTGAGGACACAAGGAAGTGCACGCACGTTACTCAGCTCCAGGACATGCGGAGAGGAAAGGAATGCAGGCTTGGAATGAACCACCTGGACGTCTGGTAATTAAAAGTAAGATGAAAACAATCAAGTGTATTCCCAGAGGGCCTAATACAGCTATTGAAAATCTGCTGGATTAGAAGTATCAACTTTTTGTACCTGCAGTGTTTTGTTTTTTTAAAATAAGCTTGCTCTAGGAGGAAGTTTCTCTTTAAAGAGCATCAAAAGAAGTGTGTGGATTTGTGTGTGTGAGTGTGTCTCATGGGGGCTGGCATAAAGAGAGGGGCTTAACATGAAAAAAAATGAACCCAAAGAATTCCATAAAGGTGAGACCTAGGCTAAAGTGTATTTCAAAATTATGCTTAGTATCTTGTTTTATTTTTATAGTAATATGTAAATTTTTTCTGATATCCATACATCACCTGCTTTTTACCCTGCACATTAGACATGCGATAAGATTTGGCTGATCACACAAGCATGCAAAGTATTATTATTCAGCATTTTAAGAACCAATGCAACACCTCAGAAAAACAAGTCAATCAATTCTGACCAAAGTAAACAGAGAAATGTAATTAAACAAAACAAAACAAAACAAAAAAAACACAACCAAAAATACCCACAATGCATTGCTTTCACAAGCAGAGATAATGAGCTAATAAAGGTTAAGGTGATTGGTCCAAGGTCCAAGAATTGAAAGGTGCAGTGGGGATCCCAGGTAGTAACAATATAATCCAGAGTGGGAAGGAGTAACTAAAAGATTTTAAGGGTTCTTTTTTGATCATAAGAACACTCATGGAAGTCTGAAAAATACAATTGTTAACTGAAGTTCTGGGCATGACCTGTTTCATTTAAAAGAATAAAACTGAAAAGGTAGCTGATTAGGAGTAGGAGGGTTATCTTCCTGTTTAGAAAATTAATTTGTATCAAACCAACAAGGTACATGGCTTCCTTCCTGTTTTAATCCTAAGCAACATTAAAATAAAAATACTTTTGAGGTATTTTATGCATTTGTGCAAAACATTATTTTGGAATCAAGAGACATAGAATAGTGGTAGAGCTAAAAGATAAGGCTTTCTTCTTTCTATTTGTTAAATCAAGACTTGTCTATTTTAAATTAGATGTTTATTGTATATTCAACTAACAAACTGGAAAATTCCATCACTACCTTCTGTTACAATAAACAAGTCAGCAAGTAAAATCATCACATCATATTTTTAACTTGAACATGAAATCACTCCCTCCTTATAGGTAACAGGAAAGTTTCTGATTCTGCCTTCAGGAACATATTGTTGTTTATAGGACAGCAGGTCACATTCTGCAATGCCCACATATGCTGTGCCTTTGTCTTACACAACAGGCAAACTGAACTCATCTGTGATGTTCACTGAACTAAGTTCTACCCATTTTTAGAGTCTCCAATTGCAGCTAAAGAATGGTGTTAGAAAGTAATCTGCTTCTCAACTGCAGAAAACAGAGACTTGCTCATCATGAAAATTCTAATAAAATGCAAAGCATAGATGCCAAGTGGTGATTAGTTAACCTTCAACTATTTCAGTACGGGGAGACAGGCAAAGATTGGAAAACATTTCTTCTATAGAGAAGAGTGGTGGCATGAAAAACATGAATAACTTTTACACTAAGTTGCGTCACTTACTAGGAATATTTAGTTAAATTCTAGATGAATTCCAATATTCCCTGTATCAAATGCTAGAGGAGGCTAGAACACAATGATTAGTGATGAAATTAGTTTACTAAGCTGAGAAGCAATTTTAGGCCATTCCCCATAAAATACTGGACTTATTCCTTGCCATCTTCCATGTACATAGGTGGTGTAGTTAATAAAAAGAAAACATGGGACATTAGTGTTCAATGTAATGCACAGAAATTGATGTGAGTAGACATAAAGATAAAATATCTTTGAGCAATTATAAACCTGACACAGGCTTGGTAGAAAACTGGTTCTCAAGTTTGGCCAATAGACTGAAATGACCTACATCAAATATGAGTGAATTGAGCCACTTTATAAAGTAACTCAGGAATATCACTAAATAAAGATGTCCCATGTTTCTGGTGAGCAGTATCTCTTTGTGACCATGACGGTCAACTCTCTTTGACTGGAAGACGCTTCCTGAACAATTTTCCTAGTGTATAGAACTCTCAAAGGTTTGTTTTTCTGTTTTAATTAAGTATTTCTTGGTGAAACAATACTGCATCTTAATTTACTTCTTTAAAAAGAGATGTCAGAGGTTGAAGGTCAAAGGTCAAGTTGGGGGGGTGAGATAAAATTAAAAGTAATAGCAGAAGATGGAGATGATGGAATGCATGGGATTTAAACAATTACACACTGCAAACCAAAGTTTATTTCTAAAGCAGTTCCTTTCTAGTGGTGGAGCCTTCAACATGCACACTTCTCTTATCTAGTACACATGTTCTACCTTTGTGGAATGGAGGACCCCTAATGGCATGTCCATTTGGTCAATGAATGAATGCTAAATTAGCACACCTGAAAGCCAATTTTGCCGTAAGAAAAGGACCTACAAAGGAGGCTCTTTCCCTTACATTTTAACTAAGTAGCAATGAATAGGGTCCTCTGCCACTATATTTATTCCTCCGTAAGAATATGGAAAAAACTATCACAGGCAGAGAAAAGGTGAAGAACTCAAATGTCACGTCTCTGAGGAAGGAAAGTCCCTGATGCAACTGCCCTATAAAAAGTCCACTCTAAAAATATACATGTTAGACTCACACTGAGAACAACTGAAAATAAAACCTGCATCTTCACTCCTTCTCCCCATTCAAGAACAAAGGATTTATTTGTTGCTATGGAATCAGTCCACTGCATGAGACACCCTCCATACAAAAATCAAAGGGTGAAGGATGCTCAGCTACATTAGTTGTTTTACCATCATTCAGAAGCCAACTGTAGTTTAATTCTTCCTACTTCTCCCTTTCTCCCTTGATTCAATTGGACTTGGTTCATCTTTGAATTAACCTTTTAATCCGTTTCCTACAAAGAAAGCAAATCCATTGTGGGTAACTAGCTCTGCTGCTCACCACCCAGGCAGTGAAACCAAACGGGAGGGCACATGTGAGAGCCTCAGCCCCGACCCAGGGTGGTGATGGGGGTGAGCACAGCAGAGGCAGTCTTGTACTACAGCCTTGAACTCCTATTTTGGTTCTCTGCGGTAGTGTTAATCCATATTCGTGCGATGCTGAGTGAACTCCATGCCAACACATTGCTAGTAAACACAAGACGGTTCTGGCTACTGTCTTAAGCCACTACCTTGAGGGCTTAAGGTGGCCAAAATGAAGATTTAAATTATTGATATTTGTTATATTCTGATGATGCTATATTTTGGTTCTTGCCATCTAATTCGTTAATTTGTAAATAATCATAGAATCTCTACTTTGTGGCACGGCAACATCCCGGAAGTTATAAGAGGACCATGGTATTTTCTTGTCCAACTGTATATTCTGGAATCGAGTACTTACCCTGGATAGGCGGGAATGGCTGTTGGAGGTACCGCTCGCACTGCACCATAAACCGTCCGCCCCCTGCCCCTCAGGTGGGCTCCTCTGAAAGCGGCCGCCGTGGTGGCTGCAGTTGGGTAAGGAAATCCAGGAACTAAAGGGAGACCCAAAATATGACAGAAATGTCAACTTACATTCAACAGTAGGAGTACAAGCACAACTTGCTTTGAAGCAGTTACAAGAAAGATTAAAAAGTATGCTCCACATCTTTTCTGAAAAAGAAAAGGGAGAGACCCAGGATGCAAAAGCTCACGGTAGCATGCCTCTTTGATCACAAATCTTGAGTGAGTTTTCTTCACTCCTTCCCATGCTGGCGTCACCACGCAAGCTGGTGAGAAGCAGGTCAAGAAGCTCTAAGAGCTACCACCACAGTTAGAAAGGACACTTTCTATTCCTGTGCGCAGTTTAAATGGACTGATATAAACTCTCTAACTGGCCAATTATTAATCTTGCTTCCAATATTATTAAGTGCATATCGAAATCATTCATCATGGGAATATTCTTTTGTGTTTTTACATGGTGCGAAATTCCAAGGTACAAAATAGGCTTCAATTATTTCATCTCATTAGTCAACTTTATACCTTTATCTAAAGTATTTTAATCCAGAAATGTTGGGTGAGAGGGAAACTCCATCTCCACTGTGGCCTTGTATCCTGTAGAGGCAGTCATTGTCTGAGGTCTATTGTAAGTGTGCTCTCTGGAAGACACGCAGAGACACTGATTCCATGTCCACGAACTGTTAATTCTACCTCTTGCTGGAGCAAAATAACTCAAGTCAAAGTAACTTAAAAGATTTTTAGCACATCACTGCTTACTCAACAATCAAAACCCATGCCAGGCCAACATAGGCTACTTACTGATTAAAGGAATGTAAGTGTTAATGCCCCCTCTTCCTGATAGGGGCACTGCTGCTTCGTTGCCCAGGGACACATCTGCTTGAAAGCTGGATGCTGATTGCATTAAAAAAAAATACAAAAAGATTACAAAGGAATAGTGAACTTCAAAACAACAGATGTTGTTAGTTAAAAAGCACACACAGAAAAATCAACGTATATACTACCTGCATATAACTCAGGGCCATATACAGCTCCAACTACTGGGCTTAACTTCCAACCTAAAATGGAAGAGAGGATGGTGAGTATTTAAGGTGGCATGAGAATACAGGGAAATGGAGTGATGTGCAAGCTGGCTTCAGATGTTTCTGGGTTTATTTTTGTCTACTCTCAACTTTTCTTTCGAATGCCAAGTGGGGTTTATATGAGAATGATGACATTTCTATACCTGATTATCTTCAAGTAGGACTGTGATGGGACAATGAGCAGTGAGGGGATGGGTGGGGTGGGGAAGGGAAGGCATAAAAGGAAGGAGAGAAAAAAACTGGGAGGGAGGGAGGAATTGAAAAGGGAATGAGAGAAGGAAAAAGAAAATCAAACAAATCTTGGCTTTGGTGCAGGGTCTCTTATAGAATTGCCTAACAACCTATTCTTTGTTTAGGAAAAGGAAAAAGGCAGAATACAGTACATGTCATTCTATATCGTATGTATCATCTTAACACTATTTATTACTCTAGTTGTTATATAAAGGTGTCCTTTGACTGAATTCAAATTTGACCTGGATCTTTGCATTCCATGTTCGATTATACCATATCGATGGGATTCTTGGTAAACTGAGATCGCCTTTCACTGAGACTTACCATTGGGATTTCTCTGGAGTTAACCAAGTCAACAAGGAGAAACATTCAGTAATAAACTTGAAGCTGTATTCCCAACTTCAATGCATGTCCTCTGAGATTTTAATTTGTAATAAATACATTTAAGTGCATCAGATTTTTAAAGGTTACTAGACTGCTGAACATTAGCTTAAATATTTATAAATTCTAAGTATTTCCAGACAGGTTGGTGTCAACTGAATTTCTTCATTCTCTTTTTATATTCATAGGACTATGGCAAGTAAATAAAATGTACTACTGCCTACTGCTGAAGATTAGAATTACACATAAAAACTTTAATCAATAAATATTTATTGAATTCAAACATGCCCTATTATGTTTCTGAAAGACTGGTCCTTTGGTTTACTTCTTTGATATTAGTTTAAGGGTCTAACATTGTGCCACTGCTACTCTATAAAATTATAAATGGAAAGAAGAAGAGGTCAATGATCAGATTTAAATGGCCACATTATTCAAGAGAAAACCCATTAATTCTGAATTAACCCAGTCCCCATTTATTATTTTATGTGCTTGTAGACATTATTCTACATAAATATTGTGCCAAATCTGGGTTCAAATCCTACGGAATTGTAAGAGCACAAATGTTCTGCAATGTCAGACAAATAAGTGTTTCCAATCACCATAAACTAAAATGCTTGAGAATTCACCAGAAGGATACCTTGCACTCTTGTCACAATCTTTAACATGACAGAGAAAGAGTTCTAAAATGTGGCTCCATTAGACTTGAATATTGATTTAGAATATTCAAAAATGATCCATTTCTTTCCAGCTAATGGAACTATTAAGTACTTCCTTCAAATGCATATAATGGATGCACATTATAATAATGGTATACAATGCTATGCCGTCAATAATATGTCCAGTTTTGTATAATTTACAATGTACCTTCACAGATATTTATTCATTTTGATCTTCACAAAACCCAACATAGGTACCACTTGTAGGACAATGAGGAAGTACTGTATTTTTCTGGGTTTCATGTCCTAAATAATCACAAGCTAAGAGGGTTGGATCTTGATGACTTCTAAAGAATTTCCTGGTGCTAAAATTCTGTGACTGCAAATTTAGATGAAAACAGAGTAAGATAGGAAATTGGCTCATTGTCACAGAGTAAAACAAAGAGTCCATCTAGAATTAGAATTTCTATCTTCTGAATTCCAGGGGTTCTTTCTGCCACACCGCCCTCCCAGGATCTGAAGGAAATCTGACATACTTTGCCTCTCCCATTAAAAATAAATAAATTACACACACACACTCGCGCGAGTGTGTGTGTGTCTACATTGGGTTTTTCTCAAAGTTGCAGACACTGCCACTTTTGTGAGAGCAGTGCAAACATGAGGTAAAGGGGGAGGTACCACATGATATACCACTGATAAAATAAGCAGGGAAAATGCTAATTATGCTGATTTGTGTCATTTATTTGAAAAGCTGGGTTCAGTAATTTATTGAAGACTTCGTGGGATATACTTCTATTTCATTTAAGACATTACCAGAACATACTGTTACACTAGCAGTTAGGCTCAAACTTTCACAAAGCACTAAAAGGGGAGAAATCCCCCCCTTTACAATCTAGATAAATCTTGCAGAACTCTAAAATAGGGAACAGAGAATGAGTTGCTCAGACTAAAGTAGAGCTGGAGGCCTCAGGAGCCAATCCATAGAGTTTCCTCTCCCATTCCCCCGCCCCCCACAGAGCACAATTTGTAAACCACTGCTGCACAGCAGATTAAAATGATATCCCATCTCATTTAGAGAATATGAGTCTAGATGAAATTTGACAACTGGTATAAAAATTGCTTCTGTTAGACAAAATAGTCACAGAAATTTTTCTTCTCAATAAAAAAGATTTGTAACACTCACTATGTGACATGTACTAGTCATGGAGTAGAAAATAGAAGACATACACCATGGCTATTACCTCTAGAACAAAGGAGAGCTAAGTGTTAAGAATTATTCTACTCATGCTCAAATAAATAGCAACTGGCAGTAAAAGTGAGAATTGGTGGGCATCCAGGGGTATTACGGACAAGCCTAATGTTTTACAGAGAACTACAACAGCGAAAAAAGAGGTGCTTCAGTGGGACCTACCCCGAGTTAAGAGATAACCTCAAACGACACATTCACACTGTATATCAGATGAATTTTATTGAGACCAGAACACCTTAATTAAAAAATTAACTTAATCCTAAGAAAAAAGTTAAATTCTAAAAAACAAAATACCCTCAAGGTAAATGAAACAAATTGTCCTAAGACTGAAATCAAGAGAGATTCTTTGATGTTTATAAAAAGCTCATTATTTTTACAAGAATAAATGGTATTATTCTGATGATGATTTGTGATCTCTTACCGTTTGCATATGGTGTGACCATCTTCTTATTGGTCATTACACGTGCTGTAGCATTATTCACCTAAAAATAGAAGGAAGGGGCAGGGGAAGTAGACCACATTAAGGAACATGATGTTGTTTGTCCAATAACATAGTACTCAATTTAAAATGTAAATTTAGAAAACATTGATTTAAATAATAACAATATAAAATATTAATATGTAATATTTTAATTAAAGTGTTTATTAAATGAGGCTAACAAGAGTAAAATGCAGTTTCTTAGTCTCCAAATGGAAAACTAGGGCCACTTTACCACCCAGTACTCCAAAGAAAAAATCCATTTGTAAGTACATTGGAGATCTCTTAAACAGAGAAGTAAATCTCTGCATTAAGAAAAATACGGGGGAATAGTAAATTAGAAACAACTGTTTTCACATGAACTCTTAAGTAGTTCATTAATAAAATAGAGAACATAGATTTATAGGAAGATAAGAAAGAAAATAAGTCTGTGAATTCCATCTATTCTAATGTTTAGCATTTTTGGTATGTTTGTTTAAGATTTTACTGTCTGAAGTTTTTCAACAAACATAGGAATAAATAAATTCCCATGTTGACAGTCTTCAGAACCATTGTGAATTTTCTAGACCATGTGGTCTATCCATTTATGAATCAAGTTTTCAGAAGGCCTTTCGATTAGGTACTTAAAAGAACTGAAAATAGTAAAGCGTATGCTTCTTGTTGTATGGTACTCTCCACTCTCATTTCAGAGTGGCATAATTCAAAGCCCTGCTGGTGCCAATTACAGAAATGGTGCTGATGAAGAAAGATGAAGCGGCTCAGAAGTGAGGGCGCTGCAGCCCCGTGGCAGAACCAGCCTCAAAGCTCCAGCCAGGAGTGAAGCCTCACCACACAACTTGACTGAACACTGTGCTATCAGGTCATAAACAGGCCAGTTTTGGAAAAGAAAAAAAAAAAAATCAAACATATAAAATATGTCTTACTTTGCCTCTGGGGATTTACATAATCTTAAATTTGTGTAGTGATAAATTTAGGTTACAAAAAGACCAATTTTAGGTAAAACAGGAACTTAAAAAATGCTTTAATATGTCTTTTAGGATTTGTATAGTGGTAATGTTCCTATGTGAGGAAAAGAACTTGAAACTCCATTTACTCTGGTTTGACCCACCAAATAATACAAACATTTCACATTTAAAAAGAAAGAATGGGATACAACAACGATGAGACAGGAGCATGCTGTTAAACACACACGCGCACACACACACAAATAAAAGGAAAAAACAATCACTTTTGGGGAGAAGGGAGAAAGTGAAGAGTCAGGCTCTCACAGACAGGAATGAGAATGAGGCAAGAGCTTACACTAGCTGCAGTAGCAGAAAGCACCCAAGCACTTAAAAGAAAAATGGCCAGAACCAATCAGAGACCACCAGTCAGCAAAAGAGACCAATAGCTGCATGGATCAGGAAGAAAGGGTGGGAAGGGAAAAGGGGAAAGGACAGGAACAGAACTTGGGCAAAGAGAACAAAAAGGCATGGAAAAGAGGAAGTCAGGGCAGGAAGGAGAGCAATCAAAGGCAAAGGAAGAACAGTCAGCTCTGAACAGAGGCTCGGGAAAGAGGAAAAGTAGGAAAGGAAGTAGGGGCAGAAAGTGCATTAATAAAACCAGCCAAACTGGAGTTCAGTAACTCTGAGTAAGATGTGCAAGGGGGGCAATCACCATGACGTATCAAACAGCTCAGATGCTACAAAACAATGTGCATCCAAAGTCCAGGCGGCATTACCCATAGCATTGGAAATAAAAGGGGAGGAAAAGGAAGAGGAGCAACAAGTCAAATCACATTTTGTAGTGTTAATGTGAGATGGCAGATGGACTTTTTCTTTCTTACTTAATTGTTTTGTAATTACGTTTTATAAAGCTTCTTCTCTAGTGCTCTGATTTCACTTACCGCCAACGGGCACCATCGCCAGCATTGTGTATAGTTACCATGGAAAGAGTGAGTCAAGTGAAGGGCCCTTAATGCTAAACCATTGGAAAGGGAGGGGAAAAAAAGCAAAATATGCAGACATCTTACTCAAAACGGTGGATTTTATATCTCATACTTCTCAAAATTGGGGAAGGGGGAAGGAGCCAATTAACCTTCATTGCCTTATTAAGAAGGGCTGGTGAACACCAGGTGGCTGACTCAACCACAATGGTAGTACATTCACCAGGCAACCGCCAAACCCTCTGTTTGAGGACTTTATCCATTAACTGTTGAAATTCTTGACATCAAATACATTTGATGAGTGGATTCTTTCCTCCCTCCCAACAAACTCTATTCCTTGCTTATCACACACATGGAGGTGACTGGCCTCCTGAGAGAGAGGGCATTGGCTGGCCCCTTGACTTATTACAGGACATAATATTATAAACTGGATAGAGATAAAACATTTTTAAAGTTAGTTTTATATTGGCCTGATCATAGGAATTTGGAGTCTGGCAAACTGAAGCAAAGGAAAAAAATCAAGAGAGCAAAGGATGAACACCTTGGAGAGAAAAAGTTAATGAAAAATACATAGACACACACACGCACAAGTAAAATAAAATTAAAATTCCCAAACAAAAAAGGTGGGGGAGGAAATAGAAGTGTTGCTTTTATACATTTTAGTACAAGAAGGTGAAGGACAGAGACACAAACACACATACACGTGAGCACACACACAAACAAGACAGGGCTCCAAATGTGAAATAAGTGAGGCAATACACAAACGGAGAAACAAAAATATAAACCAGAAATTGAATTATTGAAGACATGCACCTCGATTTTACGGCCCTCTACCACGGTGCCGTGTAATTTCTCCCTGGCCCTGTCTGCATCAGCACTATTCTCGAAAGTTACGAACCCGAATCCCTGCATGCAGCGGGAGAAGGGGGGAAAACATGCACATCGTTATATTGAAATACTGATCTCGTGGTCAAGAGAGAACAAAATATCACAGTATGAAACCGACATCAGCAACAACTCAGCAATATGCTCCCGAAGTCACATTTGTGGACCATGCATATTTTGTAAAGGGAAATTAAATCCAGTAAGAGAATAAAGAACTGTTGTGGTAGTAGTAATAATAATATAATCATCAATAATAACAACAATAAAATAAAACATAAAGCATGTGAGGCCAGACCAAAATTAAAGTATACAGTTACTCGGGTAAAATTACTCAACCAAGAATCCGAGTATTTTTTTTAAATGTCCTACTTTTCTCTCTCATTTCATGCTGTTAATATGTGTTCCTTTATGTAACACTAAGAAAACACTTCATTAAATCAGTTATTCCCTAGTAACTTCTACAAGAAAAGTGGTATTTAAGTATAATCATTATGTAATGAGATTTTTAAGATATCTAATCATTTGAGGCTCCCCCCCCCCCTTTGCCTCCTGCTTGTACCACCTTGGAAAGAGGATAAATTAAGACATAATCTTGATGTATAATTCTGTAGTTATTGGGTGTGGTAAAGAAAAGCACTCATGTTTGTCTATGCAAATGAAACTATCACTAAGCAGTGTCAGTCATTGACATACCTTCAGTGACAATTTTAAAAGACCACACTGGCACACAGAGTAAAAATATAGGGGTGGGCAAGAATAGCTTTACAATTATAAGTACACAAAAGTTTATTCTTGTATTATTTAACTAGAGGCCCGATGCATGAACTTTGTGCAAGAGTAGGCCTTCCTTCCCTTGGCTGCTGGTACCAGCTTCCCTCGGCACCCGGGACCCAGGCTTCACTTGGGACCTGGGCTTCCCTTGCAGGCCTGCCTTTGTCCAAAAGGTCGCCAGAAGGATGTCTGGTCTAATTAGCATATTACACTTTTATTATTATAGATTACTAAAGGCCCAGTGAACAAATTTGTACACAGGTGGTGTCTGGTCAGTCTGCCCTGATCTGGGCCGATCCGGCTGGCTGACCGGGGGAAGGAACCACGAGCAGTTGGCTGTCTGGCCCCAGCTCCTTGGTCAAAGGGATAATTTGCATACTAGCCTTTTATTATATAGGATTGTGTTATTTTCCATGCAAACAACAATAAGCCTACTTCTGCCCAGCCTTTTATGTTCACCTTAATTTCAGAAAATTGCTTATCCAAATTTGCCTAAGTTGTATAATTGCTGACACCTGCATCTGCTACCAAATGTATTAGAGATTTTTCACATATGGAGAAAAAAGGAAGTAAAAAAGGCAATGGAAATGAGATCTAAGTTAGTGATATCAGTTGCATACTATTCAATAAGAAAAGAATACCATAAAACAATAATACAGCTGCTACCTTGAATTAGGATTAATTTATTTGTCCACTGTAGATACTGAACAGCAAAAACCCACGAAGCTTTACTTCACTACGTGGACAGAGCAGGAGACCAGGGAGTTAGCCCACTTTACTGTTCGCAGTGTATTTGAAAAGACTGAATGGGTTATAATCATACTGTTAATTTCAACATCAGCAGGACTTACTATATTCTTATACAATTCTTTCATAAAGCACTATATGTTTTTTAGATGCAACTATAAAATTTTCTCAATTTATTTACATTTGTCAAGTGGTAAATTCTTAGAAATTTCTGGGAAAGTCCTCATTTCTCAATAGCCCTAGTGTTCCTGTAGCATTCTTTAAACATCTCATTGTAGGATAACCTGGAATCTTTTGTTACTCAAGTTCTGTTTTACAGCTTATTACCATTGAGTTCTCCTGTATACACAAAACATGTTCTTCACTGAGATGGTAAACAGTGTAAATTGCTCAATAACATTTTATAAAAGCAACTCCACCATCTTAAAGGGTTGGATCACACAGCATCTGAAGGATTATATGGCTGGGCAGCGAAATATGGAGGATTCCAATGGATCATCTCTACCTTCAATTTGGATAGCACCATAAATACCCTAGATATTTATGCTAAGCTGATACAAAATTTTCAACGTATGTTGGCTTGGGATGGAACAGTATGAGTAACTAATGAGAGAATAGTAATTACATGGGGCTCCAAGAAAAATAATTTGCTGTAATAAATATGCAAAAATGTTAACCCAAATACACAACTTCACACACCTAAAAGTAGAAATAAGGAAATTTACAGGGTGTCCCACCAAAAATGTATACACATTTTAACAGTTGATAGTTCAATTTTGTATATGAAATGTACTTTAATAAATACTGCCTTTATATTAGGTCTAGTAATAATTAATGTCGTTTTCTAATACTTTTAAAATCGAATTTATTTAAACAACAAAATTTAATCAACAATATAGTTGCCATTGTTTTCTACTACTTGTGCCCAACGCTCAGGAAGCATTTTAATTCCTCTGTTGTAAAATTCTTGTGATTTTGATGCAAAAAAATTCGGTCAATGCATTTTTGAGGCATTCTTCATTATTAAATTTTTTTCCAAGAAGAAAGTTTTGCAAAGAACGAAACAAATGGTAATCGGAAGGGGCAATATCAGGAGAATATGCAGGTTGAGGGAGAACTTCCCATTCCAACTGGCGCAGTTTTCAGCAGTGATTCTTGCAGTATGCGGTCGTGCGTTATCGTGGTGAAGAATTACGCCCTTCCGATTAATCAGCGCGGGTTCTTTTTCTCTTAAAGTTTGGGCTAACCTTTCCAATTGGGCACTATACACTGCACTTGTAATGGTTTGGGTAGATGGTAAAAGTTCATAATGAAGAATTCCTTTAAAATCCCACCAAACACACAACATCACTTTTTTCGCATGCAAGTCAGGTTTTGGTGTGGGCTGCGGAGCCTCATTTTTGTCCAACCATTGAGGCCACCTTTTCAAATTAACATACAGCACCCATTTTTCATCTCCGGTAACAATTTGCTCTAAAAACAGCAAACGGTTTTGACGAGCAAGGAGCGAACTGCAAATTGTGACTCTTTGATTATAGTTGTTGTCTGTCAACTCATGAGGAACCCATTTTCCAAACTTTTGGACTTTGCCAAGTGCACACAATTGATTGGAAATTGTTTTTTTTTTTTTTTTTTTTTTTTTTTTTTTTTAAATATATTTTATTGATTTTTTACAGAGAGGAAGGGAGAGAGATAGAGAGCTAGAAACGTTGATGAGAGAGAAACATCGACCAGCTGCCTCTTGCACACCCCCAACCGGGGATGTGCCCGCAACCAATGTACATGCCCTTGACCGGAATCGAACCTGGGACCTTTCAGTCCGCAGACCGACGCTCTACCACTGAGCCAAACCGGCTTCGGCTGGAAATTGTTTTTTGTGAACAATTTAAAGTTGTCGCAAGCTCTTGTTGGGTAATTTGAGGATTTTACACCAAAAGAGCTTGAAGAGCTTCTTGATCAAAATTGGACACACGGCCTCGACCACTCTTGTCATCTAACGAAAAGTTTCCCTCGCGAAATTTCTCAAACCAACGCTGGCATTTTCTGGCGTTAACTGCATCTTGACCAAGAGCACTACAGATGTTTTTTGCAGCCTCACTTGCTTTTCTTCCTAATTGGAACTCGTAAAGCATGCAGTGCCGAATATGCTCTTCATCCGCCATCTTCTTAGCCCTAGTTTTGCAACAAAAACCAAACCAAACACAAACTTTTTCAAGCAAAACTTGTTAATTGCACTTCACACGTTCTGTAGATACCATGTGTTTGAAGGTTATGTCAATACAAGTCAACGCCAAGCAAGATTTTTAACGAACGTTTTAAAACGACATTAATTATTACTAGACCCGATAGTTAAGACTTCCCTTAAAAATAAATAAATGTGTTGAAAATATCAATGGGAACAGATTTTGAAAATCAAATTTTGATGTTAGTATGTATAGGTATATAAGAGCAAGTTACTAATTAATTCCACCATTTGTTGTCTATACTAGATCTGCTGGAGACAGAAAACCAGGTCTCCAATTCTGGAGAATCCTCCAGAAAGTTAAAACTTTTAAGAGAGGTCATAGGTAGTGATGAGTTTGATATTACATTTTATAAGTATTATTAGCTGTAATCCAACTGTTTGCTACAGTCTCATACATTTTATGCTTTGGATAAAATTGATAAATTAATACTTATATAATAATGAATTATGTGCAGACTAAAGCTAGGTTTTTAATTTGAGCATTAAGACTATTATCTATATACATATGTACATACGTAGATGTTTACCTTTTAAGCAAAACCATGGGGCAAAAAGGCTAAACATGCTGGTTTCACTTAGAAGGTAAAGAAACTGAATCAAACTGAGATTAACTACTCAATAAGCAAGAAGGCTCAAAGCATCAATAAGGCCTTCTTTCTTCCATGTAGCTTCTTCCTATGCTTATATGAAATTATGTTTTAATTTGCCTTCATTGTTAGAAATCTAATTCACATTAATAAGTCAGGCCATTCAGATCTCTTGCTTTGAAAAAAATTAGTAAAATTATTTCCAAACCTAACATTTTCCTTAGAAGAGCTTTAAAATGAGCAAAATATTAAACAGGGAAACATTAACCAGTCTAATTAGCTGCAAAGTCAAACTAAGGTTTAATGTAAAACTCTTAACAAGAGAAAATATATCAGGGATGTAAGAAAATAAAAAAAGATAAAAAGTAAACCTTTATTTTAATGTAAGAAATCATGTTGATATGTTTGTCAAACTGTCAATAATGACTTTAATATTCTGGAACAAAACTATCAGACAGAAATATAACACAATCCACATATAATTTAAAACTATTACTAGCCACTTTAAAATAGTAAAACTAGGTAAAATTAATTTCAATAATGTATCTTATTTAACTGAATATATACAACATATGAGTGAAATGTTTGACATTCTTCTTGTGTGTTAAGTCTTTGAAATCAGTATGTATTTTACACTTACAGCACATCTTAATGTACACTTGCCACATTACAAGGGCTCAACAAGGCCACTGTACTGGACATTGTAGGTCTATGTGCTTTATACTTTTACCTAAGGTTCTCAGTTCCCAACGTTCTTCTATGTGAATTAAATACACCCATGTTACATTAGTGGTTACCAGCTCTCTTTTGGAAATTGAGGAATACTGTGGTTATTGGTTGTGGTTAAAGCTTCTTCCAGTGTGACAAAATGTTATCACCTGCCTTGACATCATCAAGGGCATAGAAGCCGAATAACTGTCACCTTTTTAGTCTGGCCTCAGACGGCAATAAATAACAAGCAATAGGATGAGCATTGTGAAAGTATTTTTTAATTTGTATAATTTTGAATTTTTCCATCTCAGAAGAATGAGAAAGAAAATTTACCATGTAACTTTTTAGGGAGAAATCAAAAGCAGACGGTTCTCCTGGGTATGGCCAGAACACAGAAATTAAAAAATAAATAAAAGAAAAAGAAAACTAAAACCCATAAAATGGTAACAAAAGAAAATAAACTAAGCCCTTTGGAAATACATGCACTATTAATTCAGTTTTAGGTACAATGAAAATCATTTCACCTCAGCATTACCTGTCAATTTTCCTGAAAATTACAAATGCTGACTTAGGGCAATTTCAATACAGTCTTTTGACCGTATTTATAAATAAATAAATAATCATTTTTTTCTATGAAACTGAAAGCCAGGGAAATAGGGGAGAAGTTAAGAGCATAATACGTATGTATGAGGAATGGAAATAAGAAGTTTTATCTTCCCTAACTCCAGCTTAAAGTTTAGTCAAACCAGACAAATCTCCATCATTCCAGAAATCCACCTGTGAGAAGGAATAACACATCAACTAAAAATTTCCTAGCAAGCTCAATAACTGTTACTGTGCTCTATTTTTCGGTCCTTTCATCAACTTAAATAACTGGTACTATCTGAAGAAGTAAAGAGCTTGTACACATTCAGTATTATAACACATACATGTCCTTTCAAGGGACAGCTCTACCAGAAGTATGTTTAAAAAACTTCATGAAAAGTACAAATGTTAGCATAAGCGTACTTCTTTATTTAATAAATTTGATAATTATGACAAATTGTTATAGGGCTGGATGACGATGAACAGAATGGTGGGAAATCTGAATTTCAACAATGGAATAAACTTTGAAAAGCAACAAGTTTGCAGGTTCTAAAAGTGTCTAGCAGAGAATGCAAGGTCAGGAGTACTGGGGATGGGCCAAAACCGGTTTGGCTCAATGGATAGAGTGTTGGCTTGGGGACTGAAGGGTCCCGGATTCGATTCCGGTCAAGGGCATGTACCTTGGTTGCTGGCATAGCCCCAGTAGGGGGTGTGCAAGAGGCAGCTGATCGATGACTCTCTCATTGATGTTTCTAACTATCTCTCCCCCTTCCTCTCTGTACAAAATCAATAAAATATATTTTAAAAAAAGAGTACTGGGGATGGAACTAGGTTACCCTTATTTAGAGTTCTGTTTAAGATTCTATGTGAGAAAAAAAGACTGGAAGGAAATATATGATAATATTAGTGAATATTCTCTTTAATGAGCTATGTATGTTTTTTTCCCCCTATTTCTCATTAATATCTTGTTTTCCCTTTATAATCATTTTTAAAAGGGTGCTTTTTAAAATTTGTCACTAAAAGGACAATATAATTTACTGTTCAATCTGACACTTTACGGAGAAAAAGGGACATTATTAATAATTATGTTAAGACAACAGGCATAAAAACTGGGATTGTCCTAGATAAACCAGGACATATGGCCACTCTACATATATCTTCTTGTTTATATTAATGCTGTGTTATGTCTGGTGAAATCTGGAGAATCAATACAGCTACACATGTCTATATAATCCTTTTCTAGTTTCTGTTTGAGTATTTTAGTTAATATTTTGGCAGGGGTACCATTTTTCATCACATATCCTAATTGAACACTTTCAAAAGGATAGTCTATCCTTGTTTCACTTAATCACAGAAAATTAAATACAGCTGACTTTACATTTATACAACGGACAAGGGAGTAAAAAGACTTTTTTAAATGGCATGAAATAATTTAAATGTGTAGGGTGCACGGGTAAGCATGTAAATGATATATATTTGTTCCATAATCTAGGTAAACCAAATGCACAATATACAGGCCAAAGAAGAAAAAAAAAGTCAGCAACAAAGGGACAATTACTTCCTGGAGCACAGAAATTCTACTCTGCAGGCAAGCTGTAAGGTAGAGTATTGGCAGGCAGGAAGGGATGGCCATGACAGCATACAGTGCCCACTGATGATTTTAAGTAGGGATATTCTAAACTCCTGGGCTGAAAGTCTCATTATAAAAAATAAAACATGGCAAAGAGTTGCTTTTTGTTTTGGAGCCATTTGGTTAAATACTGTTTTACATGTATTACTTATCTCAGAATTAATTTGTGACTAGTTATTCCGTTACTACTTTAAAAATATTTTTTCAATAAGGCTAATTTCTGTTCAGAAAGCACTCCTAAAAGACTGAACGACTCTTAACTGAACAATAGGACACATAAGATTCCTTTTCTCGGGTTCCTTTCAAGACGTGTAATTTTATAGTAAACCCAAACATATTAGAAATGAGAAACTAAACTTAATTTAAAAAAAGAAAAGTACTGTTTAATTTATCTTCGGTGGATTCCAGAAGAGGTATCTAGGTTTGACTCCAACATAAATCTCTATTAATGAGCCTAAAACAGTTCCAGAGGAATCCATTCCAGCAAAGAACTTCAGATAACAACAGGAGGGCAAGGGTGAAAACGGGTTTTGTGCCAGTCCTTGTAGGCAGATTCAAGACAATCCCAAATTCTGTGCTTTGTTTTACAACCGTTACCAATTAGTAATAGTCTGTCTTCCCTTCAGCAGCCCAAAGGGAAAGGGGCAGTGAGGATGCAGCATGGAGCTGAGAGGCAGCATATGCTTGTAGATTTCCCAAAGAGGAGAGGAAGACTTATGCCATTTAAAATGAAAATTATAGGGGAGAAGCAATTGAATCGGATAAATTTAAAAATCCTTGAAGTCAATGAAAGAAGCCTTAAGAAAGATCAATTTCCTTTGCTTCAAAGAATTCAATCAAATTATTTTCTTGGTAAAGAGCCTGATGAAATTATATTGGGCTTTCCATTGTTAGAGTCTTGTTAAGGATAGTTTAAATGCATACACTTAAAAGCCAGAAACATTTCAAATGCTACTTGAGATAAACAGTGTGGTCAATAATCTTTACATATTTATTTTACATTCATGTGCCTCTCATCTCTAAACCATTGTCATTGTTTCACCTTGTATCTAAAAAGTTCACAAAAAATAAAAGCAAACTATATGACAAAGAAATAGAAATCTGTTGTGAGGAAATTACAAGCATAGTTTCACTGGTTACAGTTTGAATTGATTCCACTTTAAAAATACTTACCAAGGAAGTTCTGGAGAAAATTCTGTATAGGCATAATAATCTTTTTTGTTTTAACAGAAAACTGAAAGCTTAGAATATAATTACCTCTTAAATATTAAAAAATAATTATTATGGCAAAAATTAAACACTTTTGTTGATGCATTCTATAAAGGAAGGGAATAACGATCAGGAGCATTAGAACAGTACATACATTTGTATTGGTACAGCTGGGGGGAAGCAGCTATATAACTCTGCAGAGAGGTGGTATTAATTTGGAATAAGAAATTAAAGAGATAAATACTAAAATAAATAAGCAAATAAATGAGTTTTCTCAAATTACATTCTTAGAGATTTAATCATAGCCAAGGGCTATTTTCAAAGCTCTGTAGAGTTGACCCAATGAAAATTAATTAAAAAACTGGTCTTACCTAAAAATGACAGTAGAACTGAACATAGCAAGGTAAATATTTATAAGCTTGGCCACAGCTGATTTTGTCTGTGGGATGTACTTAATTTGTTAAGGAGGAAAAAAACTTTCAAGTAAAACTTTCCCAAATTCAGTTAATCAAATATTTTCTCATAATGCCATTGCAAGACTTTACCATTCACGCATTCTTAAAAACACCATTGCTCATTTTAGCGTATACCAGTAAAAATTCTAAATCACACAGATTGGGAATTGAATAGTGAATTATTAAAAAATATTTTAATTAAAATATTTCAGTTCTTGTATAGAACACATTTAGAAGAGAATCCACATACCAATTTGCACTCTGTTACTTCTTTAATTCTTATGCCAAAAAACTTACTTGCTGTATTCTGCAGATGGCCTGTATGGCTTTTACTTAAAAGGAGGAAATCAGTTCATAGTGAAGTCCTAAGTCACTATACTCTCTGTATTTAAGTCTTGTCAAATTTCATTCGAAAGAGAGAGCAAGTTAACTGAATAACTGAAATATTAAGTTTGTTCTGAATATGTCATTTCAAAGTTCTATTTTTAAAAGCTGAATTGTTCTGATACTTCAGAATAGAATTTTCATAGAATTTCACTTTCTTTGGTCTTCTCTCTTTTCCTTTAATATAAGAAACTTAGGACAAACTGAAGTCTGATGAAGGATTGGTCCTACATCCTGTTTTCCTGACTGCCACACTCTTCCCTCCAACTCCTCTTGCTTCTATGCCATCACTCTCCTGGTTTAGGTATCAGGATAAAGTTTGGCCATGTGGCAGCTTATTTTTAGAGATAATCTAACCCTAGCTAGACAGCTGGGGATACTTTTTGCAGGCTTGAAAAACAGCTTAGGTTTTCTGACTACTTACTATTTAAAATAAAACAAAACTAAAAAGAAACCAAGCTGACTTAATGCTGAAATGGAGCTTACCTTGGAACCACGTTCATTAAAGATTATTTCTACATCTAGGATTTTGCCAAATTGCTGCAGAGACAAAAATAAAAACATTCGTTTATGGTCAGCTGTTTATCCGCATGCTTTACTTTCGTCTGAAAAGAAACAGGTCTCCCCATCCTCCACCCACTCCGAATATCTATTTAACACCCATGTTTCTATTTGTTGGTAGGTCCCAATACCAGTTTCTGAGTTTTCTCCTTTTCCACTTGGTTTTCAATTCATTCACTCATGCATTACCCCCTTTCTCCCCCCACTGTATGTTGGCAGCTGTCTTCAGAATATATTCAGAGAGTTTTCCTATAACATGCCTCTTCACATGGGCAAGAACTAGGGATTTCCCCCATGACATCCGTAATTTTTACATGTCTCAGTTTTAAGAAGTAAATCCTACGTAGAAAGATTTGAAGGCTGTTTTGCTTCCCATTCATTTTTCTTTAACTTATGAAAGTAAGCCATGTTCATTATCAGCTCCAATCCTACCACCTTAGTTCTGGTACACAGCCTTCCTGGCTCTTCCTTAGGCATGTATAGGCATGTAACTATTTTCACATATACTTAAAAAAAAAACCTTAATATACTATGAACAACTTTCCAAGTCAATAAATATATGTCTGTGTTATTTCTATAGATTACATACTATTTTCCATTATACTTAAACATTCATAGACATTATGGATGACCTCATTTATTTGCCACTTTAATCTTTTTGCATTGAACACCATCAAGAATATTTTAAATAGTAACTTTGCTTCGTAATTAGTTAAATATTTTAAATTTGGAAAGTCAAAACAAAGCTGAAACTACAAAGCCTAAGAACTCTATTGTTAGGTAGCTAACAGCTGACTAGAGGGGCATACACAACACAGTAATTATTTGGAGAAGATGTGTATATAGAAACAAAACTTCCTGTGCTAATCAATCCTTGGATAAACTGCACCGAGAGGCTGTGCAGTAAATCTCCAGGTATCTTTTTACTAGTAACTCACACTTCTCTCTGAGCACTAAACTCATACCCAATTATCTATTTCACTTGGATTTGAAACCAGACTTTGGGGACTGTGCAAAAATTAATAAGAGAAAAAGAGGAAAAAAAATAATGCTTTCTCATTGGGCTAAAATATTATCATCATCGTAAAAATCAGGTAGTAAGAGCCCTAGTTTTCTATAATAAACTTCTGGGCTTGCTTCTTGTTTCATCATTAATAGAAAATTAGAAAAATCATGGAAAGAGGATTTATTTTGGGTTGAAAAGCATTTCATTTTTTCCCCTATAAAACTAAGATTTGTATGGTGTTTTAGAGTTTGTTTTCTTTTATGTTTTCTAATGCATCCTCATAGAATCCTTCTAGAGTAAAAACTACTTCCCCTTTATGGTTAAAAAAGGAGGCTGAAAGAAGCTATTTTTCCAGTTTATAGAGCTGATAAAACAGAGCATGCAATCCATGCTCTTTACCAATGCAACTGTCCTTCTAAGTAGTGGGTACTAACCACGTGGAAGAAGACAGAGCAACCAGGTACCCTTGCAAGGAAATTTAATTTTTATGCACTTAGTGCCTTATGGAAAGGGTATAATACATTTCAAGAAAGCAATGTTAGTGGCCTGGGCAGATCTTCAGTGGAAAACACACTTCTGACAAGAGAATGCATTCCATTTTCACAGCTTAAAATTCCATGTTATCTCTGATAATTCAGTAGAAAACCTAATAACTCATACTCCTGGGAAGCTGCTTCTTAAATGTAACCGGAATTCTTTAAGCTGCATTTATATCTTCTGTTGTGCTCTTTCCTGTAGAGATGGAGACCAGCTGGCTACCATTTTCTCTGTAAAAGCTCTCTTCCAAGTTCTTCAATATTATTAAATCTCAACCCTGGCCTTGCATCCAAGTGCAACACACATCCAGGTAACCAGCTATAAGCGACAGAACTCTGCTCCAAGGTATTGTCACCATGAAGCGGCCTAGACTCTAGGAAGGGGACTTGGGTTTTCTGATAAAGCACCAAGCTGTGATACTAATAAAAAATTTTAAAACCCAGTTGTCTCTTAGTCCTAGATTAAGTTAGGAGTTTGCTCAAATTAAAATAAGGCAACAACACTATAAGCTCAGAAAAAATTTAAGATGTTCAGCAGTCAATCACTTCCCAGTAACTCAAATCTTTGCTCCTACACGGTTTCTATGATTGATTTGGGGAAGAATTAAAGAGCTGGAAGAACACATCAGAGGCAACAAACTAACACCCAGACCTGATGTTAGATATTGGTCTTGACTCTGTTGAGTTATAAGCAAGAAAGTGAAAATAAAACAAGGGTACTATCTGCTTTCACAGGTATTGTATTATTTAATTTGCAATATTCTGAAAGGTAGTAAATGCTATTTATCCTAATTTTAGCACTGAAAGTCTCACATCCAAGCAAAGGGTCACCTTATTTGAGAATTTGCAAAGCTGGTATCTAGTAGACAGGTGATAGGAAAAGTTTCTGATGAAAATATTGATTTATCCCAGGATCTTCCTCAATCTATTTGTAAGTTTTATCCTAAAGTACTAATGACTAATAATATATGTGGTAGATTAAATTATATTTTAATTATAAACCCCCAAAATGACTACAGAGACTTACCCCAAACATCTGTCGGAGATCGGGGTCCCGGAAGCGGAAAGGGATATTAGAGACATGCAGCCGTTTAGGGGTAGATTTACTCTCTGAATTTTCACTACTTTGTGTCTGTGATGGCTGGCCATCTGTCTGTGCTCCGCCTTCTGTCTGCTAAGCAAAGAAAGAAATAGTGAACAAAAAAATAAATACAATTAATTCACAAGAATTATGTAAAATACAATCCTCCTCCACCCAAATCATTCTCAAACAGTGTCTTTAGGCAAAAATTACTGTTGTTCTTTTATGAGAAAAAAGAAAGAAAGATGTTATCTATGTTCAAAATGCTATAGTTTACAAATAAAATTTAGGTCTTTTGAATATCGATAGCACATTGGTAAAATGGGAGAAACAGAAATACTAAGTGACTTGCCTAAGACCACATGGAGATACATTAGAATAACTGAAGATATAAAAATAGTACCAGCCATGGCCTGTGTGGCTCAGTGGGCTGAGTGTTCCTTAGTGCACCAAAGGTTCAATTCCCTGTCAGGACACATGCCCTGGCTGTAGGCTCGAGCCCCAGTAGGGGGCGTGCAAGAGGCAGCAAACTGATGTTTCTCTCAAAAAAATAAAATCAATAAAGACATATTTTAAAAAATAAGAGAAATAAAAATAGTACCATTACTCTTAGATTCTTAGTAAAACTTTCTATGTTTTAGATCTGCTTGTCTTGAAGAGTCGGTTGAATTAGTTGTAAGATCAATGCATTTCTGGCCTATCATTTCAGGACACAAAGGAATATTTTTATATTTTATTCCTTCTATGAGTTCCAGAGTTTATGACTACTGGGCTACCAAAGTATTATTTATATAGAGGGACTTTTGGTGACAATGGCCACTTTACTGAAAAGCTGAAGACACTTCTTACTCCGAAAGCAGTCTGTACTCCCCTCCCTAATCCACAAGAATCCAGGTAACTTTAGCACATACGCCAACCTTTCGCTGCTCAGAGCAAAGTTGCGTTGAGAAAATCTGTTTGGAAAGGCTTTAAGGGAGCTGACTAACCCAATACACACATATAAATGATAGATTTGTATAAATCTATAGTGAAAGTGTGTGAGTATGAGGGGGCATTTTTAATCATGAGTCTCTTTTGCAGCATCCCAGACTTGTGTTCGTCTAATCACCCCCTCCCCCAAGAAATCCTCAAAAATGGTGCTATGTTGAGAAACACTTTTGGCAAATATCTAGTAGGTATGATTTATTCTAAGCATTCAAAAACCATTTATTTTGAAGCATTCACCTGGCAATTTCAGAATCGCGTGTCTTACTCTGATGTGCATGCCAAACCTGAGCTCATTAAAACCAACATATTTTAAAACAGGGATGGAACCTACTATTCTTATTATTTCAGTAGAGTTAGAATTGAATCCCTAACCGATTCTTCTGGGTGACACAACAAATCCGTTCCCTTTGACCCAATGTTCAACTAAAAATAAAACAAAACTGTGAATCAGAGATACTTTTCTTAGAGATGTTAGCAACTATTGTGGAATGAAGTTTGAGACTTTAAAATATAAAGGATAATCAAGAATAAATTCCGAATAAATACCAGCTTTTCAAGTGTCAATCTGAGTGATGGCAGCTTTTATCTCATTCCATTCAGGCCTTGCAGATGGCTTAAATGTGCAATGATTCATGTGATATAAAAATAGCAGAAATAGGAAGAGCCCTGAAGCAATGACCTGCAAAAGTGTCAGGTTTTCAATCATCAATCTGGGCACAATGTAGACTACACAAAACAAATTCCACCAAAAGCAGGAACTCACTAAGTTACTAAGACCGCATCACGGACACCAAAAATAAGCAAGAGCACCAATTATAATGAATGCTTATCAAGAACCTTCAACCCTGCCTCTTACATCTCACAGCTGGACTACATGAAGCTTTCTTCAATCAAACTTTGCAAGAACCAGCTCAGGTCTGCAGGATGTCTCTGAAAAGTTAAAATCACTCAAGAAAAGTTAAGAGGACTGATTCCAACTCCAAACCAGTTTAATATATAACTACAATATTAGCCAGGTGCACGAAATTTGTGCATGAGTGTGATGGTGGTGGTGTCCTCATCCCACCTGTACCCTCTCCAATCTGGGATCCCTCGGAAAGCTGGCTTTAAACCACTCACCTGCCTGCCTGCCTGCTCCCCCCCCCCCCCCCCCCCCTTGCTGGCCTGCACACTCACAACTGGCCCCCACTGCTGGCCTGCTTTCCCCCAACTGCCCCTCCCTTCCTGGCCTGATTGTCCCTAACCACCTTTGCCTGGGCCCTGACATCATGGCTTTGTCCAGAGGTGTCTTGGTCTAATTAGCATTTTACCCTTTTATTAGTATAGCTCTATATACAGGTGGGCAAAAGTAGGCTTATGGAAAATAATACTACACACACACACACACACATATATATAAGTGCTTGGCCAACCGCTATGATGCACAATGACCACCAGGGGGCAGGCGTTCAATGTACAGTCAGGAAACATGGAACAGAATGATGAATCTCAGAGGGAAGGGGTCATGGAGGAGGGCGGAAAGAGGTTAACCAAAGATGTTATATGCAATCTAGCGGCCCGGTGCATGGATTTGTGTATTGGTGGGGTCCCTCGGCCTGGCCTGTGGAGATTGGGCCAAAACCGGCTCTCCAACATTTCCTAAGGGGTCCCAGATTTCGAGAGGGCTCTGGCCAGGCAAGGGACCCCGCTTGTGTACCAATTTGTGCACCGGACCTATAATTAATCTATATAATACATATATATATGCGCAACCAAACAACTGATCAATCGGTTGCTATGATATGCACTGACCACCATAGCAATGCACAGGGCAGACACACAATGCAGGAGCTGCTCCCTGGTGGTCACTGTGCTCCCATAGTGGGAGAGCCGCTCAGCTGACCAATCGGCGCCAGACGCAGGGCTCACGGCTTGGCAAGCACTGCTGTGGTGGCACACCCAATTGCGACTGACTGGACACAAGCCTACAGCAGACGCAGCAAGGCCAGGATAAGTGGGAGCCACCCAGCCCAGGCAATTCTAGAAAGCTTGGCAAGTAGAAAAAGTGAACTATTGTTTCCAAAATTCTCAAGCTTTTTGAGTTAATATAAATTTTCAATTAAAGTTTAACATACATAATAGATACAAATGCACAAATAATAAGCATATCGCAGAACAAATTTTCACAACGAAAATACATGCAGGTAACCATCGCATTAGATCAAGTAGCAGAACTCCAGAAGCACCCTGGGCTCTACTCCAGTCACAGGCCCTCTGCTGAAGGGTCACCACTATCCTGATGGCAAAATTAGTTTTGCCATTTTTAAACTAAAAAAAAAAAAAAAAAAAAAAAAGCAGGGGGATCACACCATATGTACTTATTTGTCTGCCTTCTTTTACACATAATTTATATACACATCATAATTCACCCTCCCCATCCCCCAGTTTTATAAACATATAGAATTTATATGAGCTACTTCCAGTTTTTGGCTATTAAGTTCTTTGTTACATGAATATTTTTGTTATGTCTTGTTATATGGAGCATGCATTTCTTGTGTTACTGTAAATGAGTCTAGGAGTGGATTTGCTGGGTTAAGGATATGCATAAGTTCAGCCTCAGCAGAGAACCACTTTTTCAAAGCACTGTACTAACTTATACCCAACTGTGTATGAGAGTTCTAGTTGCTCTTAGTGTTGCCATGTTCATTTAAATTATTTGGTGGGAGGAGGAAAAGTAGTGGCGTTATATTGTGGCTTTAATATGCTTTTCTCTCTCCAAAACCACAAACTTTCTTCTTACAGAATATTATTGAAAAATGGGAATGTCCTGTAAAATAGCATCTATTTCCTGAGTGTATACTATACAATGAATTCTTATCTAAGCCTTTTAATAATAAGTAATATTTAAATAGTGTTGACTGTTTGCCAATACTGGCCTACATATTCTCTATATTTTAACTAATGTATTTCTTTCAACAATTGTAACAGTCGGTACTTTCTTTTTTTTTAAACTTGAGAACACAGTAGGTACTATTTTTTAGCCTACTTTTCAGATGAGGAATCTGAGAAATAGAAAAATTGACTAAGTAATGAAGCAGGCCTACGCCACAGGCTGGCCTCACTTTGTGGGAGGCCCCCAGGCTGATCAGGGGAAGGCACCACCCCCATCATCCCGCTGCTGTTGCCACTGCCAGCCACCGCAGCCGCCAAAGTGTTTTCATCAACATGGATTTCAGTCCTTTCGCAATGAAAAAAATGACAACTTTCTTTAGGTATTTTCAAGATGTCTCTTTCATAGGATATGACATTTCTTTCTTTCTTATCTTCACCTGAGGATATTTTCTCATTGATTTTTAGAGAGTGTGGAAGAGAAAGGCAAAGACAGAGAGAAAAATATCAATGTGAGAAGGACACTTTGATTGGTTGGCCCCGGCCAAGGAGGAGCCTGCAACCTAGGTACATGCCCTTGATCAGAATCGAATCCGGACCCTGTGGTCTGCAGGCCGGGGCTCTATCCACTGAGCAAAACCGGCTAGGGTAGGATATGACATTTCTTAGCCCTTCCAGCAGCGGACTGTCGCTTTTTCTTCCAGGAGTGAGGTGAAAAAACCGTAGATCACCTTCTTGGATTCTTATTACCCAAGTTACCAAGAACACTGCTAGTGGAATATGGGGAGTTTAGCCAATGAGCAGTCAGAAAAGGTGTTTCCTCTGCAGCTCACGCACAGAGGTGGGACTGCTGGCATGCTGTTGCGGCTTGGGCAACCCCTTGTGTGTGTGTCTGTTCCAAGCCTGCTCCATCCATGGCTTGCTTCATTGCACATACAGTCCCCTCCCACCATCTGTGTGCACAGCCTTCTCCTGAGCTGGTTGTGACTGTACAGCATCCCAGCTAATTAGCATATTACTCTTTTACACACACACACACACACACACATATATGCATATATATATAAACATATAGATTATTGAGACAGACAACACTCAGAGAAAAGGAAAAAGTTTTTAGCTAAATCTTTGTTAAAAGTGAACAGATAACCTGTTCTGAGAAAAGTCTCAGTCAATACAGCATTGGTTTGCTTTATTTCCTAGCCACTGAGCAACTTTACTGACTATATGACCAATCT